ACCTTTACATTGAAATTTTCCAGCTAGAGCAATGGAAATGCGTACATAAGCCATTTTCAAGTAGCCTAAGCATCGTTACAGGAAGGATATGGAGATAACGAACAGTATACAATCTCAAAGTCCATAAAACAATACAAAATAAGAGCAGAGCAAACACGGACCCAAGAAACATCAGAGGTGGGATCAGGTGCCATGGAGGAGTGAGCATCCCCTGCCGACCGGTCACACCCGCCGTGTGCTCCTTGTCATGATCAGGAAATAACGAGAAAAATCCGTCGACAATTTAGTGTATAAATAATGGACTAACAATTGGTATGAAAAATTTCAGTCAGCATTTGACTCAATGATAAACTGTATTTGCTGACAAGGTCATTGTATCGACCATAGAACTTACGAAATGATGACTTTAAACGAGACTGCTGATATTCTTGTTTCGTCAACTTGCTTGTCAATAATTTACCTCGTTTTAGAAATTGTTTATACGTAGAGCATGCTCTTGCGTATCGAATCAACTGACTCAGAGATATATATACTCCGTATGCAGGTGATGAAGGTATATTGCTGCATAAGTAAGGGAAGTTGACGATAGAAAAGTTAAAGTCATCACGTTTATCATATAGCTTGGTTGTTAGATTACCATTAGTGTCTTTTTCAAGTAAAATATCCAAGTATGATACAGAAATGTCGGATTCTGTGGTATCTTTTATCTCAAGCTCACCAGGATATATCGTATCGACGTAGGAATGGAAATTACTATTATTAATTGACAATACGTCGTCGATATATCTAAATGTCGAGTTGAAGGCCACAGCAAGTGTTTTCTTCTTTTCACGCATAAGATTTTGCATAAATTCTGCTTTATATGAATATAAAAATAGGTCTGCTAATAACGGTGTGCAATTGGTACCAATCGGAATTCCAATAGACTGTTGGAAAACATGGTCTCCAAAAACCACAAAGATATTTTCAATCAGAAACTCAAGCATCTTCTTGATGTCAACTTCAGAATATTTATGTGTGCAATCAGAATCTGTTTTAACAAAATAATTATGCAAATGACCAATGACGAGGTAAGTAAATTTACGAGTTCCATTTTTATTGAAGAAGCAGCTGTCAATGATATCAAAAAGCCTGGATTTTAATTTGTCGTGGGGAATTGTTGTGCATGAAGTTGAAAAGTCGTAAGTTTTTAAGCTGTTGATTTTTGTAAAGTCTTGTGATTTCAAAGTGTCCAAAAGTTCTTTAGAATTTTTTAGTATCCACATCTGATTCACACCACTTCTTGAATATATAGTTGCACAGTACTCTTGAAGTTTTTCCTTCACTATTGTCAATATCTTAGTGAGGAGTAACGAAAGAGGCTTGGTTGAACATTTACTGGAACCTGCAACGTATCTTTGTTTGTAAGGATTCTTATGAAGTTTTGTAATCCAATATACTAATGGTAGTTCAAATTCATTTTGGCTCTGTGTAATATTATAAATATTTAAAGCTGGCATATACATGTAATTTTGAAGAATTTCTTCCTTAGAAAGGAAAGTATGAGTATAAGTAGGATTACCACTTGAAGAATTAAATCCAAGTTCTTCTAGAATGCAATTTATATAATGAGCCTTACAAACGAAGACAATGTTGTTACCTGCTTTGTCGGCAGGAACCAGTACGTACTGATCGTATAATCTATCTAACTCCTTTTTCACTTCTGGTTTATTGGGAAACGAAAGGAGAGTTAATTTTTTGAAATATTCCTGCATTACTTATGATGAACAGTAAAAAACCGTTAAAACTCCATAATATTGCCAAATGTTTTGTTAAACATGCAATTTTTGATTTCTGTTAAGCAGACTCAATCTTGACTTCCGGTTATGGTATGGAAATCGTTCAACCGTTAAATTACCGATGTTTACCAAATTGAAGATATTCATAATTTATTTTAAGGTACAAATTTCTTTACTTTACATAATTATTTCCCCCTAAAGTAGGGTGTTGTGTTTCTTTTGCGTGTCAATATACGAGGGCCGTTCAAAAATTACGCGGACTGTGCTATTATTTACTCTTACAGACGTTATATAGTTATGAAATTTCACAGAAATATATATCTAAAAGAGTCCAATGAATTTTGGGCAAAATTTCTATATTTTATGCATATTATGTATCTTAAAGATTCCAATAAATTTTGGGTAAAAAATTTCTGTATTTTAAAAAAAAAAATTCTACTAAAATTATCGGTATGTTGATATCGCTGATGGAGAGGTACGGAGCACGACAAAAAATTTGAGGCAAAAGCATGCGGAATCCAAAATTTATCTCATAAATTTTCTATAATTCGCGATATTTTTCGAAAATTTTCTCCATTGTTTCTTTAAATTGTTCTATTATTATGCATTTAGATTTCTGACGTGATATTTGAGGTACTAACAGAAATATAGTGATTTTTCTCTGATGCGATTCCCGTGATAACGACCGTGAAAATTACGTCTCCTGAATTGACGGCGCATCACACTTTTGTTAAATTATGTGTAATGCTCGAGATATCGCCAACATAGATCCAAAATATGCATAATAAAACATGTAGTAAAATAAAGTATTCGTGACATTCGTCCACAAAAAGCAAACTGAAATTTTAGACCGTAAGACCTCTGTAAAAAGGCTGTACGGGAGGACGGGAAGAAGATTATCGACGAAAACTTTATCCGGACTGTAAAGAACGTGATTGAGAGTCACCAATATCACACAATATCTCATGAATACCTGCAGTTTTTGGTTTTAAAACAAAAAAAGAATATTCTTTACTTGTTTAATAGATTTTAAGCTTGACAAGAAATGGTGTTTGGATGTTGAGTAGATAAGATAACTCAAACTGTACAGATACCCTTGGGAAAACGTTGAGAAAATGAAAGCTCAATAACATATTTTTTATAATGCCTGCATGTGACATCAAAGATTTTGCAGCTCCGTGACTGAATGATATGTCCTGAAAAATCACCCAAAAAATTAAATTCATACCAATTTACATTTTGATATGAAATTTTGAAGACCATATAAGTAAAGATCCTTTTATATTATGTGTGACATTTTGCCCGATTATGTCGTCAAATATTTTTTCTGTGCAACAGTATATAGATACTCACTATCGTAAATGTCACATCATAAAGTTTGTAAATTATAGAATTAAAAAAAATATCAAGAAAAGCAAAGAAGTTTTAACTACAATCTTCCATTTTTTATGTTGCATAATCATTAAAATGCCCAGTTTATGCCCAGTGGACCATGATATTACTGTGAATGCAGGAAGAACAATTGCTTTTCAAACAATAATGTTATGTGTAATCCTACAGAAATTAAGGTCTCTACAATTAAATCTGATATGAACGGAAACTTCATCATTGCAAATATGATAGAGGAAAATATATAGATATATTTTTCTTTGGTTAATCATATTGACCAAATGAGATAACCAACAATTCTACACAGATATTAGCAATACAATATACAGAACAAGAAAGTTGGTGAATATTGTCGTTAACCTGGTCAATCTGTTTTAGCAAGTGCATACGGATTCTGAATTTTTCATTTTGGAGACCTAATGGAAGTAAACAACGGCATCTGTATACTAAAAAAGCTTAGTTCTTTGACCTACTCTCAGATTTTTCTCAGTAGCACATTCATATTTGGAATATGATTGATGCTGTAGATATGCAATAAGGTTTCACAGAGTTTGACACATCTGTTTCATGCTTAGAAATTTTACTCGAAAAAGACGTTTTTGGTAATCTAACAACAAAGCTATATGAAAAACGTGACGACTTTAACTTTTCTATCATCAACTTCCCTTACGTATGCAGCAATATACCTTCATCACCTGCATACGGCGTTTATATATCTCAGTTGATTCGATACGCAAGTACATGCTCTACGTATGAACAATTCCTAAAACGAGGTAAATTATTGAAAAACAAGTTGATGAAACAAGAATATCAGTAGTCTCATTTAAAGTCATTATTAAGTTGTCGATACAATGACCTTTTCAGCAAATACAATTTATCGTTGAGTCAAATGCTGCCTGACGTTTTTCATATTAATTGTTAGTCCATTATTTATACAGTGAATTGACGACGAATTTTTCCGTTATTTCCCGATCATGACAAGGAGCACACGGCAGGTGTGACCGGTCGGCAGGGGATGCTCATTCCTCCATGGCACCTGATCCCACCTATGATGTTTTAGAGGTCAGTGTTTGCTCTGCTCCTATTTCGTAATATGGACTTTGATATTGAATACTGTTCGTTATCTCCATATCCTTCATTTCAGAGATTTGATTTTCATCTTGGATTAAAAAAAGATGATTTCTGTAAAAACCCACTAGTTCTCCGAAATCCTCTCATATTAATTGCAGTGGCCTAATCATATTATGTAATATGATTAGTGGTTTCATGTAGATGTGCAATAAGGTTTCTATATTTTAATTTTCACCGTAGGGACCAGATTCGTTGGTAAAAAGTCATATTATCAACAAAAACACAATTCCTTCAACATATTATGCAATTAATTAATTAGCTCTAAGCAGATAATTCGTGAAAAAGAAAATAAAGATTAATTCTTAATGAAATACTTGAGATCAGAAAAAATACGCCTTATGAGGCTTTTATGAAAGAAAATTGACAGTAAACATATACCTACCCCGAAATACACGTGGGTTTCACATATTGACTAACAGCCTGTACACCATCCAGGAAGTTGCATCATGCGCACCTAAAAAGAGTTCCGTTGAATTCAGTGGAATAATTCTGCTAAATTAAGCTATGATATTCCTAATACTTGAGTCCAAATTTAATACTGTAGGCCTAAAAAGATGCCGAAAATGAAAAAATAAAAAGAAATTGTCTCTTTATTTATATACATGTAGAAATATAATCGAGTTCATTTTGATTGGCTATTTTCTTGCGTAACACCTTTAACCTTATTCTTGTTTTTAATTATCATTTTTATTTTATATTTAGATACGATTTTTTATCTTCGCCGTCTTGGTAACAGTCGTGTGCAGTCAGTGTAATGACTTCGCCACTCAATACCAATGTCTTATGAGAAGTAACAGTGTGTTGTGGGCATGTAAAAGCAGATGTTACGGTTTCGGATGTACCAGAACACAGTGTGAGCTGAGGTGCCAAGAAAACGCCTACAGACGTTTAACATTCTGTATTACATTGGAATAAAAACTATTCAACTTGACACGATTCCTCTTCATTTCATGTTAACCCTGTATATCACTTAAAATTTTGTAGGATTAATGCATTCTGACTGATTAAAAAGAATCTTGTGTTGGTGTATATTTAAACGTTGCATTAGAAATAAATTAATAGATTTATTAACAAATAAGATAATACAAACTTTATGTAAAAAAAGGGATGGTATTTAACAACCAAAATTTCTTATTATAAATGTAGAAATAAACTGAAAAAATTTAGCTATATGAAACCTCCGTTTTGATTCAATGATGTTCAATAATTTCATATATTAGAACTATTTTTTTTTTTCATAAAAGTGTACGTGTATATAGATGTATGAGTGCGAACAGACTGAACAATTTCTTAACATTTCAGACATTTGATATAAGGATCATTCAAAGCAAAAATATTTATACCAGTCCCTGCATCCATTTTCGGCATTTGTTTGTATTTTTTTAAAGCACGTGTCCTGAATACAAGTCACTATAAAATTCGTGTACAGTTGATCCAAGGGAATGCAGATATTTGAAACTAAAAAATTGGATACAATGTTTTTTACGTCTTTATATTAATGTCCACCTGGTGGTTTTATTAATTAACAAGGAGAAAGCTGAAAATTAAAAAAAAACTTTAGGGCAATGATCTATCGGTCTTATGTACATGTAAGATTGGATTTCAAGGTTGTATAAATTATGAAAACTTGATCGCGCGTATGTACATGTGTACAAAGCCTTTTGTCGTATATAATACCCTCTGAACTGTTTGACATCCGAAAAGCATATTGACATTTAAAAAACAAATACACAACTTAATCTTAGGTGATTTGGAATTGCATATAATGACGCAGATTTCTTTCTGAATTTCTCCAATATCATATTGATTATTCTACCCTTAAAATGCTTCATGTGAATTGTTATGTCTACTTAAAAGAGTTTCTCTACAAAACGCTAGGGTTTTGATTTATTGGGCGTTGTTAACTGTTACTATTGATCACATTAAGTACAAGCCCTTGGACATCTGGAGCTGGATTTAAAGTGAAATATTTGAAAGGAAGAGGCCTTACTTTTTCATCATGCCAATCTTCTGTGTACTCTCATAGTCTACTCGTTTATTATGCTCATTTAACGGACAAAATGCCGAATAAGAATGAACCTTTTTTCTGGTATTGAATCGGAAGGAGTTTATTTAAATGCGAGTGAAAGCTTTAAAGTAATCGAATTTGTTTAATTCAACACTTGCGATAAACACTCAACAATGTTGATACTACATTGATGAATGCTTTCAACACAAATATTATGCTATTGATAATTTTTAGTTTTGAGATTGTGAATCTGGAAAAATGACGTCTCTGAGCAAATAAAATTACGAAATGAAAAGAAGACCCGTCAAACGGTAACATAGAACTGAACAAATACCCACCGATAAAAAATTTGCTTGCAAGGAAATAAATGTTTCTGGGCCTCTTTTGCACTTGAAATTTTCCTCGTTGCGGCGTGAAATAGACCCACTGGATCAATAGCCCAGATTCTGTGAGTGGAGTTGTCAAGCAATAGAAGACCATGGTGGAAGCATGCGGACACGTCCGACCCGCCGAGGACAGCTAGTGATCCTCCACCCAGCGATGAAAGTCAAGAAACAAAACAAAGTTGTGGAGAGACAACTGGAGAATACACTCCATTTTATTGAACAGAAATGTCATTTCCAAGCGGAGAAGCTAGATAAATCTATCAAAAGTGTACAAAGACAGCTAGAAAATATTGAGAGTGACAGGAGAAAGGGCGGAATTCCGGGTAGATCACTGGACGATATGTATGGACGGTTTGCAATTACACCCGAATCGGCGCAAAAACGCCGAAGGCGCCGCGCTGTGTCTTGTGAAATAGGAACTCCAAAACGAAAGCATCACTGTTCACATTTCCCTTGCGAAATGCCACAAACCTACCATTCTATAGGATTCAGATTTCAACCTGAAGATACTGAATGGAAACCATGGAAAAAAATAAGGAATGACTTAAGTGACGAAACACAAATTGTCCTTGAAAATTCAGCTCTTATGAATACTGGCATATCTCGTCTTAGAGCCGAGAGACGAGCCGATATGTTAAAATTAGAGATGGAGAAGAGGAGAAGAAAAATGGAAGAAGGGAGACCCCCAGCGTGGGAGACAAACTACGGAAAACCGACGCCCATCCGAAGGTTAAAGTACCCGGTCCGCCTTGAACCCTTGGACTAACCTTCTCTAAGGCCGATGTCCGTCATTTCCTCGAGTAAGAATGTTGTGTTTCTAACTGAAATAGGATTAAATCAAACTCTAATGACTCGAGACTGTTTACTGTCATATTGTGCCAAAATAAAGACTTACACGAAACGACCGTGAACAGGTATTGATTAAGTAATAATAAGTACCTGCCTTGTATAGAGAGGAAAGGTATTGATCCCTTCATTATGTTGGCCGATCCTGTAATTAAGAAATTGGCCGGGTTTAAAATTGATTGTAATCAATTGTCAAAAAGATTGCATAATGCCTAATGAAACTAATGTTGGGATGGAGAATAAGCAAATACTTTATATGACGCATAATAAGAGACAATTTTTTAAAGAAGTTTCTGAGATTTTGACAATTGTTATAAACTGTTCACTTTATTCAATGAGCCTTGATACGCAAACCCATTCCAAGGAACATCGTCTTTCTTGTTATAGTTGACCACATTGTTTTCGATGTAGTGTACACATTTGAGCATTCTTTCTTCATGTAATTCTTGAAATTAAAACACTTGAAGTAGAATGTGCATGTTTATTTGAGACACATTTTAAGGTGATAATGCTTACATTTGTATAATAATTCTCATAATTATGAGAAAATAAACATAAAACAATAATAACAACGTTTCCTTTAGACATACAATGTATATCGATGTTTAAGATGCGATTGACAATTTCTATGCTTTATCTTTTAAAAAAAATCTTCAAGATAATATCGATTATTTTTGAAAGAATTGATAAAGTACAAAAAAAAATAATTTGGAATGCCTGTGGATCAGTCTGTGATTGTCAATCTATTCCAGATTTATGGAAGCTTTGAATAGTGCTGTTTCTCATCAACGACGACCCTCGTCAAAGCACGTGGAATTCCTTATGCCATTTATTATAAAATTTTCATTTCATAAAATGTCATTCCTCTATGTTTTATTGATATTTAACTCCTAATGAAGAAAGTCGTTTTCATTAAATTATCCAATATATTTTGAGGATGTGACGTTGACACATGGTTTAAGTGTTCGTTTTCGATTTATTTGTAAAAGATAATTTAGAGGACCCCTGAGATTTTCAATTACTGAATTGCCATATGTTTCCTCAAGCAGAAAATTTAAACGAGCATATAAGGTATGTTTTTAATTTTATCTAAAGAATAGTTTTTGATGAGAAACTCAAGTTTAATATAAAACATGCTTGAATTCTCTCTCTCTCTCTCTCTCTCTCTCTCTCTTTGTGAGAATATGACCGTCTGTAATGTTTCTTCATACATCTGGTTTATGTGGGTGGTGAATTGTCATATTGAAAAAGTAAAAAGTCTAATTTGTAGAGTTCCTGTAATTTACCGATAGTTGATTCTTTCACATGATCGAAAGCTTCTATTAGCGCTTGCCTTCTCTGAAGTCTCTTTTCATTTGAGCTCAGTTTGTATTTTGTCACATACTCCAACATTATTTTAATAATTTTATCTGTGTTTATCTTCTTATCTATATATCTTGAAAACTCTTGTCTCGGAAATGGTACTTTTGATTTCAATTTTCCTTGAATTTGCAGTGTATTCCAAATTTTTGATAGATATTGTATGAAATCTGGACATAGTTTCCGATTTTAATGTTATGTATGTGTTTAAAAGACTAATCACTGACTTGTTGTCGATTTTATTGTGGATTAATTTTATCAATTTGTTTCGTGTTTCGTATGAAATGTTTATGTTATCCAACACATACTCAATATCAGCAGACAAAGAATCAGTTTTGCTCACAATATCGTATCTGACATCACATGCATGACACAGTAAATAAACTGGCGCCCAGTGTCTATTTATTTGATAGCCTCCGTATGCTTTGCTGATTACGTAATCAAGGAATTCTGTAAATGTTACATTATACCCGCATGACAAACTTCTCTTCCCGCTTTTCTTTGAAATTTCACGAGCTTCTTTAACAAGACCGAAGAGGTAGAACTTGTCCACATACGCTGAATACAATCTGGAGTAAGGATTCCTTGAGACAATCAAGGTCACTGAGTTCGACTGTTTGGTCTTAATTAGTGCAGATGTACTTAGTTTCCTATTTCCAATTACATGAACATGACTCCGACTTATTTCAAATATTTCATCAACCGACTGAACTCTGTCTTTTTCGAGAACAAGGAAAATTTCTGTCATGAAAGAACTTCCAGCCTTTGGCACTTTGCAGTAGGATAAATTAGCTTCTTTATTTCCATAAAAATTTTCAGACACTTGACGAAAGTCAAAGTTATACCTATTAATGTCCGCCAATTTGCATGTTGATCTTAAATGTTGAACTCTTTTTTGCATTCGTTGTTCCCTTAACTGTGTTGGAGACATCTGAACATATTTTGATTTATCCACATGATATTTTTGATTAAGGATATTAAAGGAATTCCATACTTTTCCAACTACAAAGAAAAAAATATTATAATTAATAACATATAAGTAAACTAATGATTCTACAATTTCCGCATATTTTTTTTAGTAAACTGACTACACTAAACCCTATTAAACATTAATGTTGTTCTAACTGTGGAAAAAGAAGCAAGAAACAGGATATTGTGTCCATTCGGTTTAAGGAGGAGAAAAAAAAGAACGAGGAGGATCCAGATGATAAAACAAACTTGATCTTCTATACCGTACAGCGGGTATTCTTGGCGGGTGTAAAATTTGGCGTTTTGCCTGCTAAAAGGTATGCCAATGATTTTGGCGTAATTTATTCTAGTGGACACAGGGTTTCATCTCTTTGCAAATGAAGACTAAGAAGACTAAGTTAACTGTTAACTGACTATTTTAGCGATTAAAATTTTAGCTGGCTGCCATCAGAACGCCAAAATAAGCCAAAATTAGCAACCCGCTAAAATTACCCGATACGGTAATGAGAAACCAATGCTGAATGCATATACATGTACAAAAAAGTTAAATGTATTCACATTCTAGACGTATATTGATAAAAAAAACTGAAAAATAAAAATGATAATGAGTGTAGTGAAATACTTAACACTTTCATTACTATCAGGGCAAATGAGGTACACTATAAGCAATATTTTGCAAGAAGGATTAAGTTAAATAGCTGTTATTTTTCCATAAATTATTCAAAATTAAAATCCAAGTATTATATATGGCACGCCAAATTCACAAAAATGAGATAAACCTAGTTTCACATTTGATAAACTAGGTTTATCGACTGTAAACTATAGTTTACAAACCGTAAACTATAGTTAACGATTCGTTAAGTATAGTTTTCATCTGTAAAACTATATCTAACGGTTGTTAACTATAGTTTACTAATGATAATCTAAGTTTATCTGTCTGTAATAAGCGTTAACAATAGATTTTGTTGATAAACATAGATTCACGTTTGTATATATATGTAAACTATAGTTAAGAGTTGTTAATCATAGTTTCACAAATCGTGAAACTATATTTATCAGATCGTGAACTATAGTTAACGGTTTGTAAACTATAGTTTACAAATCGTGAAACTGTATTTATCAGATAATCTATGTTTTGCAATCGCAAATGATTGTTTTCAGTGTTATGTATAGTTTACGGTTGTGAAACTTATCGCGTTAACTATGGTTTACGGATGTAAAATATAGATTAATGTTGTTAACTATAGTTTACAGTCCGTAAACTATAGTTTACAAACGATAAACCTAGTTTATCGACTGTGAAACTATGTTTAGCTCATTTTTGTTAATTTTGCGTGCCATAATTATATACATCTCTAATTATAACTGAAGGTATCTGGATAAATGGACTCATTAATATAAAGAACCAAAAGCTCATCTTTTCAATCTTTTAAAACACATTCCAGATACTTATATTCAATTTAATATAATTTTAGAAATGAGATAAAGATGAGACTGTGAAATCTGGATACATTTTTAGTCTAATTATGACATTTTAGTCTAATATGGGAGAACATGATATACTACATTTTTTTTCTGGCTTTCCCTATCATTTCATTGAAATTAACAGTATAACTTTTTTTTCCTACCGTTAACCTTTAAAAAGTGTCCCGGTACTTGTATAACTTATTTAACCTTAGTATAAAGCATAGTTAAAAAAAATATTTCTCAAATTTGAGATGTTAGTGTGCTAACAAGTCTTTTTTCTATGCATTCGGAAAATTAATTTTATTCAAATTTGAAATAACGTAGAAATTTCTAATTTTTAAGAGATATCTCTTTAACAATAGATTTTTTAAAAAAAATTTTAAGACTTTGGACATTTTGTAAACACTTTGCAACGCAGTTGGGTGATAAAGCAACGCGCTTGTGTGTGCGTGGTGGGTGGGATCATTTCATCCATTAATTCTGGTTAAAATACCCTCAGTTTTGTTAATGAGGGAACAAGTATTGATTTAATTTGTATTATGATTTGAATTCTTAGCGAATATGATTTACTTTTAAAAATGAAACACCTAGATTATAACAATAAATATGACAAACACCCTAATATAACACTCTAGCTATTGTGTGATGATAAAATTGCCCATTTTGCTTTTAACTTTTGAATCTGAATATAAAAGACAAGTAACCAGTATACAAACTTCTTTATGCATTTCTTAGTGACAATTGTACATGTTAGCATTTTTAATGTTTGTTAATATGTTCTTACCAAATATAGTTGATCTAAAAGCAAAAAGAATAAGACAACTTCCACAAAAGATAGAGACACAACAGCAGACTTTATAGGCCTTGATCCTCATTTGTGACAACTGCAAGGTGTAAGTATTGAAATATTAACATTTCGTCTTATCATTATCTTTCGTACTTATCTATGGTCAGAACAGAAAGAGATAAAACAGAGATCCAGTTCTTTAAATCTTTAATCAATATCACAACGTAAACAATTGAATTTCTCTCACCTCAGATTTTACTATGGAAAGCGATCGATACTTTCTTAAAGTCATCAGTCATAACCTCGACCATAAAAAAAAAAAAAACTTTAATCAACATTTCGATTGTTTTATATTTTGATTACATTCAAACAAGCATGCTGAAAACGATTCAAGTTTGTATTAAAATATGTATCTGTTCTTCTCTAGCATTGTCATTTTTAATCAGTACCATTTAGACATTAAAAGTCTAGTTCAGGCAGTCCCAAGTACAAATCTATATGAAGTGATTTATGTCAATAAACCTTCATTAATAACATTTTCATGCACAATAGTTGACGGAAAATGAAGAACAAGATCATGTAACAGTATTTTGTTTAAATCTCGTTATCTAGTCAATGTTTAGTTTATTTTGATTAAAAAGTTAGGAAAGAGAATGCAGAAAATCTGCAAGAAAGACAAGATTAAATGGAAGACTGAATATTCTTTTAATAAAATTATTAATCAAATAAGTTGTTGCCTTTATCGTCTATAGACAATAAACATCCAAATATGAACGTGGCAGTCTCTTTGGTGTCTTTTATTTCAGGCTAACTGGTATGAAATATATGGAGATAATGAAATTTAAAGCATTCGAGCCCCAAAGTCCATTCACTAATACAGCAGAGCAAACACGGACCTCCAAAACATTAGAGGTGGGTTCAGGTGTCATGGAGGAGTGAGCATCCCCTGCAGACAGAAGGTCACACCTGCCGCTTGTTTCTTGTCCTGATCGGGAATAAAAAAAAAAATAACGGATAAGTTAATGATAAATTGTATATGCATATTCTGTCAAGGTCATTGCATCGACCATAGAACTTACAAAATGATATCTTTAAACGGGACTGCTGATATTCTTGTTTCAGCAATTTGTCTGTCAATAATTTTTTTCGGTTTAGAAATTGTTAAGAAACGTAGAGCATGTTCTTGCGTATCGAATCAACTGAGAGATATCAACCCCGTATGCAGGTGACAAGGGTGTATTGCTGCATAAGTGAGGGAAGTTGACGATTGAAATGTTAAACTCATCACGTTTATTATAAACTTTGTTGTTAGATTACCATTAACGTTATCCAAATATGAAACAGATGCGTCATTCTTTGGTATCTTTTACTCAAGCTCACCAGGCTATATCAGTACAATGAAAATTACGATAGGCCTTATTATATCGTCGATATATCTAATTATCGAGTTAAAGGTCATTTGTGTTTTCTTTTTTTGCATGTGTTTTTGCAAGTGTTTTCTTTCTTTCATGTAAAAGATTTTGAACAAATTCCTCTTCATATGAATAGAAAAATAGGTCTGATTATAACAGGGTGCAATTGGTAACCTTGGGAATGAATTCCAATAGACTGTTGGAAGACCAGGTCTCAAATCCCAGCATACATATTGTTTATCAAAAACTCGAGCATCTTTTTTATATCAACTTCAAAGTACTTGTGTGTACAATGAAATTTTTTTAACAAAATAATTTTGCAAATGACCGATGACAAGATAAGTAATTTTACAGAGTTCCATTTTTATTGAAAAAGCACCTGTACATGATGTCAAAAAGCGTGTTATATATAGAATCGAATGGAAGTCACTCTTGTAAATTGATATTACCGGTACGTCGTCGATATATCTCCATGTCGAGTTGAAGGCCAAAGCAAGTTTTTTTCCTTAATTTCATGTACGTGTTATGTAGAAGTTTCTAAATAAATTCTGCTTCACAAGATTTTAAGAACAGGTTGCTTAATAAAGGAGTGCAGTTAGGCCCATCGGAATTGGAATAGTCTTTTGGAGGAGCTCGTCTCCGAAGACTACATAAATGTTGTCGAGGTACATGTACTCTGGGATCCTTTTAACTAATATCGAATGTTGCATATTTTGTATACATTCAGGGTGATTTTTTCTTGATAACCAATCACAAAATACGAATATATCCAACATCTATTTTTGATGAAGAAACAGTTTTGATGATATCAAGATATTAAGTTTTTATTAGTAATTTACCTTGAGGAATGGTTGTATAAAGTATAGAAGTAGATATGTAATTCGTTTGTTGTAATTACTTTTAAAAAATAACGATATTAAAGTTTCTGTAATTTCTTTTGAGAAGAGGTCACATCTGTATAACTTCACTTCAACAAGAGGCCCTTATAGGTCACCTGAGCATCATGCAACAACTTTCAATTTTTTTTATGATTGAATTTGGTTCATGTTTTAAGCCAGATGCTATGGTATTCACAATTTTGAAAGAGGCACCATTGATTATCATAACTATACACTTAGCGATTGCTTAGTTTGTTTACTTGTTTACTTAATACCCATAAGCAGGGTAGAGGAACAAAAATGTATGTCAACTAATCAGTAATATTCAGCAATAATCAGGAGTTCCCTTACCACACATGAACCCCTGACCCTAGGTCTACACATTGCACAATTTTTGAAAAGGCACACTTGCTTATCAAAAATGTTCAATTAACACCAAGGAGCAGATTTCAAACAATTCATTTTCAGTATATAGAAGTAGAGCCCCCCCCCCCCGTCTTTGGTATCCCTGACCCAGGGGCCTTGAAATTCACAATTCTGAAAGAAGAGCCCTTGCACATCATAACTATATAAATAGTTCATCTGCTTATTACCCAGGAGTAGAGAAAAAAGATTTTCATAGATGTAATGTATTATCACCATAAAATCATGATAGAGCCACACCCTAACACCATAATCCCTGGCCCTGGGGCCATAGAATTCAAAATTTTGGTAGAAGCATTCTTACTCATCATAACTATGTCCTTAATTAGTTTATTTAATACCTAGGAGTGAAGAAGAAGCTTTTCAAAGAATAAATGCATTTTCACTATACAATTAATAGAGCCACACCCGAACCCTGACTCTGGGGCCATAAAATTCATAATTTTAGTAAAGGCACTCTTGCTCATCATAACTATGTACTTAGTTAGTTTATTTGATACTCAGGAACAGAGAAGAAGATTTTCAAAGAAATAATGCATTTTCACTATATAATCAATAGAGCCCCACCCTAACACCAGAACCCCTGACTCTGGGGCCATAAAATTCACAATTTTGGTAGAGGCACTCTTGCTCATTATAACTATGTCCTTAGTTAGTTTATTTAATACTCAGGAACAGAGAAGAATATTTTCAATGAAATAATGCATTTTCACTATATAATCAATAGAGCCCACCCTAACACCAGAACCCCTGACCCTGGGGCCATAAAATTCACAATTTTGGTAGAGGCACTCTTTCTCATTATAACTATGCACTTAGTTTATTTAATACTCAGGAACAGAGGAGAAGATTTTCAAAGAAATAATGCATTTTCACTATATAATCAATAGAGCCCCGCCCTAACACCAGAACCCCTGACTCTGGGGCCATAAAATTCACAATTTTGGTAGAGGCACTCTTGCTCACCATAACTATGTACTTAATTAGTTTATTTAATACTTAGGAACAGAGAAGAAGATTTTCAATGAAATAATGCATTTTCACTATATAATCAATAGAGCCCCACCCTAACACCAGAACCCCTGACCCTGGGGCCATGAATTTCAAAATTTTGGTAGAGGACTCATTGCTGATTACAAACATACAAACAGTTTGACTGCTTGATGTCCAGAAGTAAAGAAGAAGATTTTTAAAGATTGCACTAATTTTAGTGCTTTTTGCCCCAGGCCCCAGGGGGGCAGGGACCATGAAATTCACAATTTTTGTTCCCCTTCACCCGTAAATGTTATACGCCAAATTTGGTTGAAATTGGTTCAGTGGTTTCAGAGAAGAAGCTGAAAATGTTCAAATGTTAACGCACGACGGACGACGGACGAAAACGGATAGCAATAGGTCACCTGAGTTTACTCAGGTGACCTAAAAATATGATGAGGCACAGCAGTACATCTTAAATTGGCAAATGTAAGCTACAACATATTTATGAATGACGATTAGATAACAGCTTCTTATATGACAATATTTTGTTGTTTTCATAATAAAACAATCGTTATATCTCGAAGGAGGATTCATTCGATTTTCCTAGCATAGCAGACAAATTGTTAGCTTAAACCTCTTTCCTAATTCAAATTAAGGACTAAATAATTATTATATTTTCATATTAACGGTGCGCGAGATTTAGCTGCTTGAACATCGTTCTTATTTACCACTGTTTTTGTACTTAATACACACTTTTTATTTCTTATCTCTATATCCACTGAAACACTTTTCCTAAATCTAAATAAAATAAGAAAATAACGAACAGAAATCAAACCAAACTCGAGTCCATTGAAACAAAATGCATTGGGAGAGCAGAGCAAACAATTAAAGACTTCTAAAAATATTGGTATCATGGAGGAATAAGCATACCCTGTCGAATAGTCACATCAGTCATGAGTTTCTTGTCATGTTAGTATACTAAATTATTTATTACTACTAAAGTCTTATGATTGGCGAGACCGGTTGACATTTAATGCTTACTTTTCCTAGACACATAGTCCCATCTCTCGTTTCACAGCATCTATGCTTTTTTTCCCTGTTTATAATTTTTGTTGTTAAATTACTGTGATTAATCAACGTTCGGTACTGAATATTGTCAAATAACCACAATGATGTTCGCGATGATCATCTCCCGGCGAAATTAAACCCATATTGAATGCTATTATTATGTAGAAACATTTCAATGTTTATACGAAATTTAAATTAATTTCTTGCAACATGAAATTTAAAGTTAACCATCGCCATTGGTATTTTTTAAAATCGTGAAAATTTAACACCGTGGAACAAAAACGTCTTACAGTATTTGATTACATACCTCTTACCTGTGTATTGAAATCTTTCCCTAGAACTATATCTTTGAGGCACACGTAATAAGAGCGATAACTCATCTATTTTTAAACAGAAACGCAAGGCTATTTATAATTGAAAATCAGGGTTATTAAATCTGTAGATACAGCTGGCGGGTGTGACCGGTCGGCAAGGGATGCTCAGTCCTTCATGGCACTTGATCCCACCTCTGATTTTTGGAGGCCCATGTTTGCTCTGCTCCTTTTTTGCAATGTTTAGTCAAATTTTGAGCTCGAATACTGTTCTTTGTCTTCTTAAACTTCATTTTCATCCAAAAAATATTGCCGGTGTAAAGACGAATAATGACCCCCATCGAATAATGACCGGGGGTCATTTTTCGACAGCGAAAAATGACCCCCGGTCATTATTCGACGTAGAAAAATGACCCTTTTGCCCGTAGAAAAAATGTCACTTCCCTAAAAATTTGCAGAACCCACGTGAAGAAAAATGACCAGGTAGAAAAATGACCCCCTTTAGATTAAAGCTAAAATTTTTAGGGGGCCAAAAAAAAAAATGGATAAAGGGGCATATTGGCCAAAATGCTCACCTGAGCTTATTGGGAATAAACTGATGATATGTTGATCTCATAACATTATACAATTACAGCTATATTTTAAGGTAAATGCAATGATTCAGAATCTAAAGGAGTAAAAGATTTATCAAGCCTTAAGGGTTAGGTAAACATTGTTTTTTGATGGTGGAAATCATCGAACTGACAGAAAAAATCAGCAGTATTATATATTATTATATCCTCTGCTTGAAAAGCGGGAGGGTATATAGTGATTTGGATGTCCGTCCGTCCGTCCGTCTGTTACGCTTTGAGGTATCCATCTCTTATCCGCAAATCCTCATTATGTAAGGTTAAGGTTTTTGCGGACAAACAAACCGCCAGATAGACAGACGGACATACAGACGAACACGATAAAACTATATACCCCCGAATCTTCGACTACGGGGACATAAAAAGAAATGGTCTTCAATTAACTTTTCATATTAATATACATTATAAAGAAGACGTTACAACAATGAAAATGTTTGTTCTGATTTTCATATTAAGTTCTCTGAAAAATATACTCAGAACTGAGTAAAAGGGTGGAGTAAAACAAGAATTAAGGCAGAACCTATGTCGGAAAAGTCTTTGTCACAATTGCAAGATTTTCAAACTTTTCAAAATGATAAATTAGTACTTGCTTATCAATCAGTTAAGATATCATGATATGTTTCCTTGTTTTTTAATCTAGAACAGGCTGTGAAACTTGGTAGGGTATTTACATACTGCGATTTCACATTTTCAAATATTTTTAGGGGTACTTGTCATAAAGGGAATATGAAAAATCACAAAAATACTTCTTCAAACATCGTCGTTTATAAAAAAATTTTAACTGAATAATATTAAACAATATCTTATCAAGAATAATTTCTTTTTTATTCAATTAACATAAAAGATAAGTCCACCATTAAAAAAATAGTCAAATGAATTATTTTTAGTCAATTATTCACCCTATATTTGTAAATATTTTTTAGACGTCTTTGTCACAATGTTTTCAATCTTCAATATGATGAAGAACATAGCCAAATGATTACAAAAAATGATTAAAATATAAACCTTTCAACTCATTTTCTTGACCTTTTTGCACTTACACGGAATTTAATAATCAAATGACTGTTTGGGGTTACTTTCAGATTAAATATTTATCAGAAATTGTACTTTTTCTTTAAAAAGATCATATTTAATACAAAAATTGTAATCAAACACCAAAAATATGAATAGGTAACAAATAATTGTTAAAAGGAATGCACATCATTTCATTATAGATATCACAAAAAAGTACACACGATCAAACGATCTACAACACGTGCATCTTTGACTTAGACACATTTCATCAAGATATTACGCTATATACATGTAGCTGGCAACTAAAGATTTCTTACGATTTATACATTCCTTCAAAATGGTTACATACCATTCAAATTATTACGAAAGTTGTATGTACATTGTAATTTCATTACACTAGATAGTCTTGGGTTTGTCAACTTCAGGTCTAGATCTAGTAAATAAAAGGTGCCTACATATTTTCTCTTATTCCAGAAATATATTGCCATTAAGCATTATAAACCAAAAAATATATGAATTGAATCAAGATTATGTTGGCATGATTGAATTCTGTGAATTTCAGAATGCAGTATTTTCTACCATTTTTATTGAAGCTGTCTACGGGAAAAAGTGGCATTGAATTAATTATGACGTCTTAATGGGTTAGCACAGGTTTAACACATTTACAAGTTATGATGTCATACGAAGTAGGTTCTACGTTAAAAGAAATGTAATGAATACTGTGTGCTAAATCAAAAGTTTATGTCTACATGTATAGTTTTTGCATTAGAATGACTGTGTATTTTATACTAGCCCATATTTTACAGAGCATATTTTTAGGTATTATACTTACCCCACCCCCTTTCTTATTTATCAGGAAGTCGATATTGAACAAGAGCAAAAAAACACCCTACCTTTATTTTTCTATAAGAAAGGAATTAAAAATAAGCTAAAAATAATCTACTATTCTACTAATTTTTAATTGTTACTTTGCCACAATACTTTCAAGTATACCTCCACCAACATTTAAAGTATGCTTTAATCATGGCGAAGTAAATTATGATATGATAGTACTTGTGTGAAGGCTTAACTTCATTTCAATATTTTATCTAGAGCCTCTTTCAGAATTATTGAAAGGTATAGAGTTTTATTTATATTTCTTCTTTTCATTTATTATTATTTTTTTTGTTTTGATTTTACGTAATGTTCTTTTTTTTGGGGGGGGGGGATAAAAATTTCTTCCTCTTTCATTGTCAAATAGGATTTGCCAAACTTAAACAAACTAAAAGTTAAAATGACGGAATTTTAATTTTTCCTATTAAAGAGTATTTAAACCTGATTTTTGCATGGTTTGATTTCTAAAAACAAGTGGAATATCATTCTTTAAGCGAACATTATAAGGAGGAATATTAAAAAGAAATTTTATTTACTTGACAATTAAAGAATCTCTTTTCAAACACAATTTTAGCATTGAAAGACTACGTGAATCTCTTAATTATTTCATACGACTTTTTGTATTTTTCTGGTTACAGAAAATGTAAAAATTAGTTTCGCTGTAAAAAAGATATCAAAGAGTGTATATTTTGTATCACTTTAAAGGGGGTCATTTTTCAATGGGGGTCATTATTTTATAGGACTAACATATAAAATAATGACCCCCTAGGACCCTTTTTCTACAAAAAATGATTTTTTTCTACGGGTGGGGGTCATTTTTTGTCGTTGAAAAATGACCCCCCGGTCATTATTCGATGGGGGTCATTATTCGTCTTTACACCGGCACAGAATCCCTGTACGCGCACTTCCCTTTAATTTGTTCATTTGAGTAAACACTCAATATGATATGAAACATACTAAAAAGTATATATTACTCGTCTTCAGCTTGTTTAACTACTTGTGCATGTATTTGTTTTATAATTTTGTTTTATATAAAACAGAAGACGTGATTTTCAGATTGTAAGGTTGTACTTCACAAAATCTAACACTAGTGAGTGTTTTAAAATGTTATATGTTTCAAGACCTTCCCGCACACTCCCTCGGAGGGACGAACACCATAGGGTCACTTAGTCCGACACTGATATCAAATAACCTGAAAAAGAGGATAAATGCATCATTTTTTGATGAAATTTAAGACAGAAATTGAGAGAGATACAAGAAAAAGAGAGTTCACATACATATTCAGAACGAAACCGGATTCATTATTAATCTCTCCGTTAGATACAGGAATGCAATCTGGGTATGTGACGTCACCAAAGAATTTAGTTCCATCTTGATATTGTCCAGCAAAATTCAAGATAGCCACATTTTCTCCGGGAATACCAGCAGCCCCAATGGTGGCCTCGCCGGTGAAGTTTGCCTCACGGGGTACCCCATAAGGTCGAAAGGTTTTAGTTATAGCTGTCACATTGCAAAGTCTTGTTTTCAGATTCAGTCGGTATTCCTTTCCCTAAAACATTGTCGACAAAATTTATAAAACTTCTGTATGGCAGAGATGACAATAATGGGCAAATGAAGAGTGAGGAATTCATTTTAACTTGACATACATCCATTAAGTCATTTTAACTTGACATACATCTATTTGATAAGCATTAAATCTGTGCAATTTGATAGATTCAATAAGAAAAAAATATGACTGTAGTAATGATTGAAAATGTTAATTCAAAATGGAAAATTCAGTTCTTTGAAACTGGGTTTTTATGAACGTTAAGTTTAGAGGTGACATACCACATTGTGAAGATAAAGGATGTCATAATAGTCAGCTTGTCTCCCTTGTATTTCCTCTTCGACGATCCGCCAACGAGAAGAGGGTTCGTCATAACTGATACGGCCTCTTCTAAAGTAATTTTCCTTTCTATCAACCTGGATGAAAACAGTTATAGATGAAAAGCTTGTTATTCTTTAAGAATACCGGGTATAATAAAAAATATATTATAATCTTAAAGAATTACAATGTATGTAAAAGAACCAACCGTTATGATTCTCCCTTCCCACTGCTTTGGCGAATCTGAAACCAAAGCTATTGTTTTATAGCTGTATACTTGTATTTGAATTTTATTTTAATTCACTCGCTACGTAACTGAAAATGTGCAATCACAGATTAAAAAAAGAAATAAAAAAAAAACGGTGTAAATATGTACTAAATAAGATCTTTTCTGATCCAATGTACGTTTTCCGAGGACCGTCCTGCTGATAAGAAGATATAGTGCACTTTTGAGAACGATCACTGTCCGTTTTCTTCATATTTCACTTTTGAACTTTACATATGTTTTATGACTATGAAAAAATTAATTGATCTGAAAAATTTATATTACATTTTCTCATGATTTTAGTCTTACCACATGGTCTTGGAAGTTGTGCAGAAACAACGCACAGAAGAACGTTGATAGCAACAAGGCGAAGCATGGTGGAAAGACGACGCATGGCGACCTATACTTTTATATATGTGTTACGACAGTTCATACTTAAATAGAACAATATAAAAGGTTATAGGTTATCAAGTCTTGTTAAGCACGTGTAAATTGTCTCTAAAAATATTTATTATAAAACTTTGAATTCATAAAGAGTAGGGAATTATATTTCTTTAATAAAATGTTTTCAACAGTTTCGTTCTTCGTTTTCTTTTTGGTAGTATGCTGTTATATTTCTTGAAAAAGGTAAGGAATGAAATAGTTACATGTATTAAGAAATTAATGTAATATTTTTTTCCTTTGATCGATGTATCAAAGAAAAATTTGGACGGAAAACTTCATCAATGCGCGTAGCGCATTATGATTTTAATTTAATAAAATGAAAAACTTTCTTTCACCTTTCTATTAAACTTACGCATCAAAAACAGTGTGCACGAATACATGACAACAACGTTACCGTTGCTGAAATTCAAAATGGCTCATACGAATAAACGTTCTCGAATATTGTCGTGCCATTACCAACATTCTCTGATATAATTTACAGTTCTTTATCACAAAAAACTTACCTGTTGTGTTATTCCAATCGGTATATTTTCCCCGGTAAGTTATCTAAGTTCGTATATGTAAAGGGAAGCTACTCAAATAACAGTTCTAACGTTAGGTCACAGAAATTTTGGATTTCATTTGCACATCTTTTCATCTGAATTTCAAACCGAACGTATCAATACGTATCACAACCTGTCAATGCTATAAAACCTGAAAGAGTCTGCTGCCGACTGTTTAAGATGAAAAGAATCTGTACTCATTCATGCGATGTCGTTTTTCTCGATCATTCGTTTCCCAAGATTTAACAGATTAACGGTTTTCCTCTCTTTGTTAGCATAAAAAACGTTTCTTCAGAATTCTATTGTTCAAAGCAGATATCTCAAGGCCAATCATTTAACAAATTTCCTTCTTTCCCAAAACTGTATCGTTGTTATGCAGACGATTTGATTTGTTTAGCAAAGGGGGATAATTAAAAAAGAAACGAAAATAGAAAATAAGTCAGTCCTCGAAATTCAGGAAAATATTTATTAAAGTAAAAGTATTTAATTATTCCTTCAAGAAGTAACCTGGAAGCGGGAAATATACATGTAGAGACTGCCAAAGTAGTTCCGGCTGCTTAGTGCAAGCGAACACTAGATTTTATTGATGCAGGTATCAAAAGAATTTTTAAACCAATCAGAATCAAGTATTTTATAGAAATTAAATGATTCTATTATCGACAGAATGGATGGAAGGTCTGGTTTTTGCGTGGAAGTATGTGGAGGACAATAAGACTAAGAGGGCCATTGGCATAACGAGAGCAGAGAGAAGGAGACGGATGGGGGGTATATGCAGAGAGGCGGAATTAGCAGCTATGTGGCTGTAGAGAGAAGAGCAGAGAAGTGGAAAGACAATAAACAGTAGTGAGATAGACAGCAGTGATTTCAATAAACAGTATAGAGATAAACAGTAAAATAGAACAGCAATGATGTAGATCCAAGAAGTTCCAGGCTGGGACCTGATCACCCCAGTCGGCGTACCTCTGGAGGCTGTATAGTGGACAACGGCGAAAAAACAGACGATGAAGGAGGATCCATCTGAGAATGGAACCACGCATCTTCCCATCAAAAGATGTATACAAGTAAAAATGTGCAAATATTCAAATATAAATATTATACAGGACTAATGGTTGTTTTATTTTTACGACTTTTGTAATGTTTACTACCTTTATTTTTAAAACCCATTCAGAAAACATGCTATGTATAAAGTTCCTATTTAAGAAATGAATGTAATATTTTTTTCTTTGATCGATGTATCAAAGAAAAAATTTGGACGGAAAACTTCATCATTGCGCTTTGATGAAAAAGTTTTCCGTCCAAATTTTTTCTTTGATACTTCGATCAAAGAAAAAATATTACATTCATTTCTTATCATTTAATTATTATTTTAAATTATTAAAATGAAAGTTTCTTTCACCTTAATATTAAATTTACGCATCAAATCAGTGCGCACGAATACATTACCACAACGTTAACGTTGCAGAAAATTCAAAATGGCTCTAACCATGCTAAAGAAAAAAACGTTCCCAAATATTGTCGTGCGATTACCAACATTCTCTGAAATAATATACAGTTCTTTAACACAAAAAACGTACCTGTTGTGTTATCCCTCTGGGTATATTTTCCCCGGTAAGTTATCTAAGTTCGTATATGTAAAGGGAAGCTACTCAAATATCCTAACAGTTCTAGGTCACAGAAATTTTGGATTCCATTTGCGCATCTTTTCATCTGAATTTCAAACCGAACGTATAAATACGTATCACTGCTGGTAAAGTGCGAATCGGGAAAATCTTGGTTTCTGACACCAGCTACTATTGGTTTACATCAATGAGGCAGTTTATATCAACTAAACGATCAGAAATGATAGAATATTTAATTAAGACGTAATTATTAATGTTCAGTATGATTTTATGCCGTAGAATTGCTTGTTAGTTGAATACATGTAAGGAGCAATCCAGTAACTGCTTCAGATTACACCCGTTCAATGTATTTCAATTGATCTATTCATATTTTCTTTTTTACAAGTTAAACACGATATACACTGCGCTATGTGTGTTAAAAGTGATGTGAATATATATTGTATGAATCATTTATGATTTCCGATGCCTTTAATGTTCCACAGGATTAAAACTTTTGATGCAATATAAAGTTTTCTGATATACAGCGCGAATATGGTTGCTGTATGTGCGACTTTCGGCACCTGTAATTGCTACGTTGGCTTCTGTTCGGTTTTATAAGTCGCGACGTTTTACTGCTGTATCATTGCTTTCCTAGTAAAGCATCTAAAGACTTTATTTTCGACACATTAGATAGTGCAACGTCCTTGAATACGTCCCAAAAATATATACCTCCAGTCCTTGACTAGTTGTTTCATAAATAAAGCTTCTATCAAATATTTGATGTGTATTGCATATACCCCCCCCCCCCCAACATTAATTGTTCGATGATAAAAATTAAAGGATAAAAAATGCAGAAATCACTCTGGTTAGTATATATTGGATATCATTCTTTAAAAATAACCTTTTTCACTAAAATATGTAATATGTTCATCAAAGCTTTAGATATCCCATAGTTCAATTTTAATAATTCCACTTTCATCTTGTTAGTAATCTTCAATTGACTACCTAGATTTTAAGGGTTACTAACTTTCGATGTAGAAGAAACGAAAAAAAGACCTTGTCCCCCCCTTTTTTATTCACCCCCTGAATAATTTTTTTAACCTTTGACTTGGAAATATGGCATGGACAGACATTAAGTATACCCGATATTCAACTTGTATGGAATATTTTAATATTTCAACAAAATATTCTCATATTTGAGTGACATGAATAGACCTATCTATTTATTAAACAAGCAGACCCGTGACTTTTTTAAAATGTATATATGGAAGAAGAATGAGAGTTGCAGGTGATTGACAAGCCAACAAAAATAAACAGTCCAGTCTCGGAAGTATGGTGGCATATTTCTGCCCCCTATATGCAAGATAAATTATGTTAACATGCAAAAAAATTATGTTAACATGCAAGATAATTATGTCAACTTGCAAGCTAATTATGTTTACATGCAAGTTACCAATCTTATAAGAAAATATGAATTAAATATGGGCAAATTTACTTACTAACGCCTGTATCTGACATTTTAGATGCAAGATGCTACATATAATTATGTAGACATGCGAATTATTTATGTCAACATGCAAGATAATTATGTCAACATGCAACTAATTTATGTCAGCATGCAAAATAATTATGTCAACTTGCAAGTAAATTATGTTAACAGGCAAGATATATATGTTAACATGTGAGATAATTATGTAGACATGCAAGATATTTATGTTCACATGCAAGATAATTATATTGACATGCTACTTAGTTAATATGTCAACATGCGACTTAGTTATGCCAACATGCGAGTTATATTTTTACATACAAGATATTTATGTCAACATGCAAGATAATAAATTGCATATCAACTTTCATGTCTTGCATATTGACATAATTATCTTGAATGTTGACATAAATAAGTCGCATGTTGACATAATTATCTTGCATGTAAACATAAATAAGTCGCATGTTGAAATAATTATCTTGCATGTTGACATAAATAAGTCGCATGTTGACATAATTATCTTGCATGTAAACATAAATAAGTCGCATGTTGACTTAATTATCTTGCATGTTCACATAAATAAGTTGCATGTCTACATAATTATGTTGCATCTTGCATCCACAATGTCAGATACAGGCGCTAGTAAGTAATTTTCCCATATTTAATTTATATTTTCTTATAAGATTGGTAACTTGCATGTCAACATAATTAACTTGCATGTTGACATAAATATTTTGCATGTCTACATAATTATGTTGCATGTTAACATAATTTATCTTGCATGTAAGGGGCAGAAATATGCCACCATACGGAAGAACAAATCTCCAGAACTGTAGTATGCTTTTATGTTTTAATCCTTGACTATCAAGACCAATAAAACCATAAAGCTACATACAGTTCTGGAGCTAGGAAAAACAGTCTATTTCTTGGTGTGTGGGAGACCTTTCCTCAAATACCGGTATTCCATTTTCCCCAACGGCTGGATTTGCCATAGTTCAACCTTACGGTTAGCTGTAGAACTGTACATAGCTCTCTGAAAAAAAAATATTGACAGACGGGTGAGCTGCAGTGCCACCAACTGGAATAAAAGTGTATGTTTTTTGTGCATAAAAAATGCACTGTTTCTCGGCTTCAAACTATCATATTCTCGAACTATTTCTAATTGGATGTCCCAAATACAAGTAAATTCCTTTACAATATCCACTTACTATTTTGACAACTATTGTAAATAGCCCTCCTTGGCATGAAATTGAGACCATCGAATTTTGCATTTTTACTTCCATTTTTAAGATGACAACAGAAAAATCATTCAACGCGATTTGCAACGCGATTCGTGAAAAAGTCAACTATAAGAGTTGTTGCTAGAGGTCTTAGGATTATGTTTTTAAGCTTATGTGTAGTTGAGATAAGAATCTGGAGGAATTAATTTAGCACCAAGCACAGCTTTTGTGCGCAATAATTTTTCTTTCAACAGATTTTTGTATGGGTGGCATTTTGGTCGTCTATCTCATTTTTTTTTTCAGACCAGCGATTTACAGGAACGCTGCTACTTTACGATTGCTAAAAAAGGGAGGGGGGAGCATGACTGCATAAAAAAACCATGAACATGAATCAAATCAAAAGCAAAAGACTATTTTCAGAAAAAAGTACACCCCAACTTGCATACTACGGACCTGAGATGTTACTGGATAAGTTTAGACTACATGTATATGCAACTCATTTCTAAAGATATATCGTGTTTTGAATTTACATATACTGCAAGGAAAATATTTCCATTATGCATTCGTTTGATCGCTTGATCACAACATTCGTATATGTATAACTGGTGCAGTTGTGGATTATTTGGTGTCATCGTCTTGCTCATTCACACCATATCACTCTATTTAAAAGTAACAGAATAATTGAACCAAAAGCACAATATCCGTAAAAAGAATTGATGGAACACTATGTATTGATTCAATCAATATTTAAAAATTACTATAAACTATAAAAAACAATTATTCTTTTCATGTAAATTTGAATAATTTCATACTATTAACGTTAAGTAACATAAACCAACAGTCTCAGAGACGTAAACTAATTGTCGCATTTACACAAATCAAAAGTCGCCTGTGTCAAAATTTAACAGAAACCAATTGTAGCACCTATAAAATGAATTTGCTTGTTATTGGCAAATCCCATGAAAATAATTCATCTAAATCACATTGTTTGTGTCTATGGCATAGAAAAACGTTGGATTAAAGTTAAATTTATCAAATTAACTGTCCAATTAGTCCTGTAGTACTTTATGTACTTTTCGAATGCGAGTACGTGAAAAACACGATGCAAACAGTCATTTACAAGTAATATTTCGATATTGAACACTTTTCGGGTATAAAAGCAATCCAATCGCTTAATTATTTTATCAATTTGCTTTCTAGAAAGTGATTTTTTATTGTATTTTATCAAAAAATATGTATTAAACTAGATAATTCACAGGTACCAATAGTAGCTGGTGTCCGAAACCAAGATTTTCTCGATTCGCACTTTACCAACAGTGCGTATCACAACCTGTCAATGCTGTAAAACCTGAAAGAGTCTGCTGCCGACTGTTTAAGATGAAAAGAATCTGTACTCATTCATGCAGTGTCCTTTTCTCGATCATTCGTTTCCCACGATTTAAACGGTTTTCTTCGCTTTGGTAGCATAATAAAACATTTTTTTCAGAGTTCTATTGCTTAATACCAGCTATCTCAAAGTCAGACATTTAAGAAAAGTATGCCGATTTTCTTCCCTTCTTTCCCATAACTGTATTGTCGTCATGCAGCCGATTTGATTTGTTTAGCAAAGGGGGATAATTCAAAATGAAACAAAAGTAGAAAATAAGTCATGAACGTAACGGACAGGTTTCGAAATTCAGGAAAATATTTATTAAAGTAAAAGTATTTAATTATTCCTTCAAAAAGTAATCTGGAAGCGGTAAATATATAATATGTAAAGACTGCCAAAGTAGTTCCGGCTGCTTAGTGCAAGCGCACTCTAGATTCTATTGATGCAGTTATCAAAAGAATTTTTTATCCAATCAGAATCAAGTATTTCATAGAAAATAAATGATTGAACAGTCAAGGAATACATTTTTAAGAAAAACAAGGTTTATGTCTCTTTATTTATAAAATTGTTAACAGTTAAAAAAAAAAACACTGTGCGCCCGGCGGCAACAAAGTTCGAAAAAGCTATTTTTAGCATGTATGTCACAGACAAGGTCACAAGGTCATTGACCTTAGTATCATTTGAAAGAGCTTGCATACCAAATACGAAGTCTCTATTCTATATCTCACGGTTCAAAAGATATGGCGAAGGTTAAAGTTGACGACAGACAGACAGACAGGATTAAAACAATATACGCCCCGATCTATCGATCCGGGCGCATAACAAATGAAAAGCTCGTGTAACAAGCTTCAAATTAGATTTTATTTAAAATTGTGTTCAGGAAAGTAATATTTAAATAAAAAATCTTATTAACCAATTTATCATTATTGAGACGTGGCATATCCTAGGTTCTCCATCTGAATCATTGATGTCCATACTGCTGTACAGCTGTGCGCTGTATGGAGATAACATGCAGGGGCTATAAACTCCTACATCTGTATTCTCAACGACCTATAACACATTTTCTCTAAAGCGGATTAGCATTGTAAAAATAACCATAAAAGAAAAATAAATGAATGTATCTGTATCTGAGTATTGAACAGAGGAATATGACGTCGAGAATAAAATTTGGTATTTTTCTAATAGTAGTTAGTGGCATCCTTTACTTAAGCAATATTTTAAATATGGAGGAATGTTTAGGTGAGTTATCTCAATTTATATACTCTAGGTATTTTATTATGGGTGAATTAAATTTCTTTATTAATTAATATTAACAAACTATCAAGTTAAGCGAAAGAATGCTTTCTCGTTAGATAGAGATGTCTATATGTTTATGTCAAAAGAATATATATAAAACAATTGTGGTCAAGCTTAAATAAATTGGAAATGTGTAATCTCAGAAAATATATATGCTTTGCAAACAGATTAAGAAATTTTTAATGAATTGTTGGATTAATAAATGCTTTATTTATCATACTTAATACTATATTATCATTTTACAAACAGCGTGACATTTTGCCTGATAGGGCGTGCTAAACTTTTTGTATGCTGATTATCATTTTACTCATCGATTGGATGTTTGATTTCAATGGAATCAATGATATTTGCATTTGAAACATAGAATCCAACAATACCACTGACAATACTGACCAATCGTATTGAATGACATGTTTACTAGCATGCAGTAAACAACAATTACACGTGGACGGACAAAGCAAGTTTTTCAACCTATAATGATGATATTGATTGCTGCATTGTACAACAGTAGAAGGGTAGCCTTTAAAGATACTAATTCCATTCTCTGAATTTTCTTATACGTATATAAAACCATCCGGTCAAATCACAACAAGTATAATACATGCTTTTTTGAGGACAGAGAACGGGCTTTGACTGACCACGTGTTGCTGGTGAGTACAAATGCCGCACTGGTGAACAATCATTCAATGTGATTGGCCAGTATTATTAGGATATTGTTGCATTCCGTGTTTCATATGCAAATCATTATTGATTCCATTGAAATATAGCATCCAATCGATGAGTAAAATGAAAATCAGCACACAAAATTTTAGCACGCCCCATCAAGCAAACTGTCACGCTGTTAGTAAAATGATAATACATTATTAATTTTTTCATATGATTTGTGCTACTGTGTACTATATGTATAATGTACATTTATATAAGATAAGATAAAATATTCCTTATTTCCTCCAAATTAATGAAGAGTTTGTATGGTTTTAATAAAATCTGAAAATTGACTGAATTATTTCATAACTACATGTATATGTATCTGTGTAACGTGAATAATTTAGATATGATTCTAATCAAACACTTCATAAAATACATTTGTAATAGATGTACATAATTGCCTATTATTGTGACATAAAAATTATTTCTATTCCAGAAATGTATAGATATATCACGAGATATAAACACAAATATTTCAAATTTTTTTAAAGAAAGAGAATAATATTATGTTCTTTTTTAAGCATCTGTTAGGAATTTAACTCAGTAGTACAATTTTTCAGCGAGGTATTGGTCAAAATGGAAGAATTTTACAAACTCTCTGCGTGAACGTACCGAGAAAGTGACCCCGGGACTATCAAAGTTAACAACAAAGAGTGGAGAAATGAGGAAGAGAAAAAATAAGTTACGTGCGTTTTGTGGAGTAAATTCTACATTGGAACAATACAGTTTCAATTTTTCTCAAGTGACAGAGAGGTATTACATTGATAAAAAATTCAAACTTTCTTATTGCAAAGTTCCAAAAGCCGGAAGTTCCTTGTGGACGCAAATTTTTATGATTCTGCGAACTGGCCCTCGACAGAATTCAAAAAAGATAAATGAAATAGTGAAAGAGAGTAGAAACAACCTTCATGGAATTAAGCCATTCTTTTCTTCGATACCTACTGAAGGAAACAGCACTACATCTATAATTATGTCCAGGAATCCTTATTCCAGACTGTTCTCAGCATTTATTGACAAGATCTATTTGATGGATAAGTTTGAAATTACAAAGAAAATCTCTCTGCACTATGGAAAATCGAAGTCATTGTGTGGATACAAAGTAACCTTTCAGGAGTTTCTAGATTTTGTTGTCAGTCAAGCATCAAAAGGATGTAAAATAAACAGACACTGGGCACCAATCTACTTGCTATGTCGTCCGTGTGACGTCAGGTATGACATCATAACAAAAATCGAAACCCTTACAGAAGATTTAAACTTTATATTTAATCATTCGAAAGTTTCCAGATCCAAAAAGGATATCATTTTGAATGTGACAAAATATAAATCAGATCTTTTTGGAGTATTAAATACATATTTGTCACACTGGAAAAGGAATCGATTAGAGTGTCCAAACTTAAAAGAATACTTGTTTAGGATATGGAGAGCATTACAACATCAGGGAGAACTGAAATACGAGCTGCCGTTTCCTTCAAATGCATTTTCATCTGTGTTGACAAAAAATCCAGATGTGAACATTATCATCAATGTTTTCGTAAAATATGTTGAGAAACATAGGCCAAAAGCAGAGGAGAGAAGAGTGCAGCGAAGAAGAACATTGACCGAAGCATACAGAGGTATCAAGAAGTCCACAATAAGGAAAATGCAGGAATTATACAAACTGGACTTTCTATTATTTCAGTATGAAATGACACCACCGGATTAGTTCATGGTCTGGTTTTAACTAATTATCTAAGGTAAATTATTTAAAACAACAAGATCACCCATTTTGAGATTCTTGCTCATTGTTTAAATGTTAATTTAAGATGAAATGTACACAAGTAACAGCTTTTTAAAAAGCTTGCCTGACTAACTCAATCAATATCTGCATGAGGAGTGATAACCCTTTTGAGCAATACTTTTGTGGGTTTAAAGTATGTTCTTACTTTATATTTTGAAAAACTTGTGTAAATGAAATCCTTGATATTATTTAACTAACAGATGAATTATTTTTACACTGCATACTATAGAGTTGTTATTCTGTTGGGGGGGGGGGGGTCTGCAAGTGGAGTGATCTGCCCTTGGATCTAAATTGAAAGCTACATTACACCTGTTATATAATATCTATAATATCTGTTACGAAATCATGCACTGTAAACATTTTAAAAGATGGATATAATTGGAAATACACATTTTGTCGGAGTGTATTTATTCCACTGAAGTAAACAGTAGTAATGTGTGTTCATTAATGTTTTTTTTTTCTTTAAAAAGAAGGGGGGGGGGGTAGTGCCACTATCGTAAATAAGAAAATCAAATATTTAGACCTTTGTGGAAAGAAAAAATCCCAAGATTTTGTACTGGTTTCTTATCTATCATGTGCATCTGAAATGGGGATACAAATGTTCATGCATCTGGAGACGATGACTTGTTGAACTGCGTTGTTTATTTTTGGATTAGTCCATTTATGTAGTAAACAAACAGCGGGATCGAGAAACAAATTAGAAAAAAAATCATTTCTTTAGTGTTGCATGTCCATATACTGATATATACGATATGTTACTTAAAAGAATGAGATAAAATTTGTAGAAAGAATTTCTGAAGTATTAGAAGGAGGTTAAAAGGACAAACTTTATTTTATTCCATAGACGTTAGCACACCCATTCACACAAAAGAACAATCCAAAGAAAAGGCACGTGACATTTGGCGCGAAAAGAGCGATTCGCCCCTTTCATAATAAATGGACTGATCTAGTAGTATAGAAATGCAGAAAAAAGGATTCACGGACACGTTGAAACGGTGAATCACAATGAATAATTGTTCTATACAAAAAGATTAAAGGCAGTAAACAATACAGTATTTTGCATCAGTAATATCATTGTTTTTTTTTCTGAAAACTGTCTCTTTTAAGATGCAGGTAAAGAATTCCTATGTAAATCAGCTTGCACAAAATCTAGCTCTCTGGGTATGATCCATTCGTTTCGGATTTTGCAAATATCAGTCCTTATACAGCCTGACGCCGTGACGTCAGGCAATTCAAAAAACAAATCATCTTCAGTGGATGGGGTATAAAGAATAACATCCTGACGAATATTTATACTAAAAGATTTATTTCAAAAATATATAAAAAAAAATTAAGATATTAAATTGAATTTAAAAATTAAAAAAATGTATATCAGATCATCTTCCGGCGCACTCCTTTGGTGGAATGAAAACCATTGGGTCTGTAATTCCAACATTGATGTCGAAAAATCTAAATCGAAAAATAAGATCGTTAAAAACATACAGAAAATGGACGGTTAGACGGAGTGAGAAATATATAGGTTGAGGAAAAGAGAGTTTCTTACGTATTCATAACGAATCCATATTCATTGGAAATGGCTCCATTAGATACAGGAATACAGTCTGGGTAGGTAACATCACCAAAGAATCTAGTTCCATCTTCGAACTGACCATTAAAGTTTTCGATGACAACATTTTCCCCGGGAATACCAGCAGCCCCGATGGTAGCCTCACCGGTGAAGTTTGCAAATGGAGGTACTCCGAAAGGACGGAAGGGGCGTGTCAGTGCTGTCACGTTACACTGTCTAGTTTTCAGATTAAGACGGTATTCTTTACCCTGGAGAAGACAAGTATTGGTATAAGAGTATATTCATATTGCATTTACAAATCCTCTTATGTCTAGAAAGCTCAGTTCACAACTGCCTATGGGACCTTTGTTAAACTTGTATGTGCAGATCGATAGAAAAATATGTTATTTACGTACATGGTTTAGGATTTATCAATACCATTTTGTCTCACGACAAAATGCATGAACGGAGAGTTATCAAAGAAATCTACCTTATATTTTTAAAATGCATTCTGTGGTTATAAATTGTGACATTCCAAACTTTCAGGAACAAGGACAATAATAAATAAAGCTATTAGAGAGTAGTCTAGCCTTTTTGTGTTTCACAATCCAAAGTTGAATCTTGATATACTAATATTTTCACTTAGACATTTTTTCTGTCTATCGACATGCAATACGTTCTAAAATTTTGATTTACTAATTGAAGTACATCGCGAAATGTACATAAAAAGATAACATTATATGAATATCTATATTTAACAATACCCATTAAATTCCCAATCTACTAAATAGCCCCTTAGTACCGCGTTATAAACAGTCTTAGATAGAAGAAAACTACAAACAATAGCAGATTGTGTAGGAAGAAATCTATTAAGATATATTACTGAAATGTAGAGATACAAGGTGAAGGACATAATTGTACTTTACACTAAGACTGTGGAGATGTAGCACCTCATTTTGTAGAAAGAGATTAATAACTCAAAAGATGTCAAGCCAAATTTTGAGGATAACAATTGAATTCCCGTTAGAAACTGAAGTCTGAAACTTTATGAAACTCCTTACAAAGGATATCTTGTCGGGTCCTGCAAAAGTTCTACCAAGTCCAAACTTTACTCTTCACAAAATATTTACTGCTGTATCAAAAGAGAAACTTCAAACGGACTTTGCAGCAAGATATGTTCAGAGTTGTGTAGATTAGAAGATGATATTAATAAAAAAAACTACAAAGAACTTTAAAAAATTTTAAATCATCAAATTTTCCAAACGTCAGTTATCTTTATACAACCTTTTCTTACGTGAAAGATCATACATGAAATGATAACTGTAAAGAGGTTATATGCCATAAATAATTACTATACAGAAGTAATGCCACAATAGAGGGGTCATGCCACAAATAAATCAGATGGAGAATTCATACATCAAAATTACTATATAGAGGACATACCACATTGTGTAAGTAGAGAACATCGTAGTAAGCCACGTTCTTGTCTTGTGCTTCCTCCTCGATTATTCGGAATCGAGGTGCGTACTCGTCATAACTGATGCGACCAGCCCTGAAGAAATTCTCCTTCCTGTCCACCTTAAATTAATTTCAAAGATCAGAACAAGTTCGGATTTATTGGCTAGTAAATGATGCATATATTGTATTTATAAATATTCTGGCGTACCGTAATCACTCTCCCCTCCCATTGCTTCGGTGATTCTGGAAGAAAAGATTGAGATTGTTGGAAGATATTATAGTGACTGTGACCGAATTTAGCGAGAGATAAAGACTGACAATCACGTGATATCTGTGTTGGTCTTACAGATGATAACGGCGAGAAATAAGTAAGGTTACTAGCGATGAAGTCCCTCTTAAGTCAATTATAATAAGTACAAAATAGTCATAAATCATGCAAAAGGAAGACTGATTATAACATATCATAATTTTATGTCAATTAATAATTATGTGGCCATTGCTTCATCTTGACAAGCCTATAGCTTTTTGAACTATTTATTTTGAGTCTTTATCTAACATTATAATCGTTATAAGTTGCATGCATATGCTTGTATTTTAAATATATTTTAAGTACAGTGGATGCTTAATTAATCTACATATATGGAGATATAATTTAAAAAATGCCTTCTTGAAAAATAATGCAGTAATTGAGAGAAATTCAAAGATTATTTGGTCTAATGGTTATATTGCTATTTTTGTTGCTATAAAGTCTGAGTCTTACCACATGGCCTTGGAAGTTGTGCAGTTACAACACACAGAAGAACGCTGAGGGCAACCAAACGGAGCATGGCGAACAGACGACACAAGAAAACGATCCAAAGTAACGGTCTTCTGCAAGTCCCAAGTTCTTAAATAGAACCCTTGTCTTTATCAAACGTTATCTGAAGACGTGACACACATACTTGTGTCGTTATAATATGCAGAAAGACCATAATATAACTGATTGAAACATCCACTAAGATAATTTGTGGTAGAAAGACGTGCAATCACCTTCAGTATCTCTCTTTTACTTTATCAATTAAGCTGTATTCGATCATCAATTATGTCAATTTAGGTAAACCACGATTAGATTAAATAGAAACCTAGGTTTAAAAATCTCATGCATTTTTTCATTTATTATTTGTAAAATTTTACATATACTGTGCAGTAATACAGAAACGTCATGGCATCTATGTGCTTCTTAAAAGTTCTTGAGTAAGGCCACTTTTCACGTGGATGTATACTGCATGATGTACATGTATTGCATGATATAATAGCGATTCATTGTCTTTAAGAGAAATAGGGAGAAAAATGAATCAAGAATTAACATACGGTCATGTAACTCTCTTAATTCGATTTGGTAACTGGTCTTCTTACATTTTAAAGATATCAAAGAAACTTTAAGTTTCTGTCATATAGAAAAATACCCATTGTATGATATTTTTACATAAATTGAGGCCTTCCTCAAAAACGGACACTCTCCTGGTTTACAACCTTAAGTCCTAAGTAAATCAAATATGGCTTTATTCACATCGACGGGTCACAATATAGAACAAGTACAGTTTTTAAAGGCAAATCTTTTATAACAAAAACAGTGTTACAAAATGTAATGACTTTGTCTTAAATAAACTTTACAGTTTAAACAAGCATACATGTATATGTATTATAATTTTAAAGTCATAAGTGATCATGTAATCAATATGAAAAAAACTTCAATAAACCTAAATACTATAGAGTATTATTTGTTTAATTAATTCACTATTTCGTAAAAAAAAATTATCAACAGAATCATTGAAACACCATTTAAAATCATAATGTTTCATTCCATGCAAAGGCACAGTGCCATATCAAAATTCTCTGTACGTACACATAAACTGATAAAAGTCGGTCACTTTCCCCAGACCTCTGACAGGAACATGACATTTTGTCGAGGTCACATTCACATTTCACGTCCTATAATACTTGGACTCAAAATCAGAAATTTTAATCACAAGTGTATTGAACCAGATTCATCAACAATTACTTAAAACTAGAAGCACTGTGAGCACTGAGCTCACTAAATGATACCCGCTGCCTCCTATATGATTATAATAGCAAAGTCCATGTTTTGCTCTGTGAGACCCGAAATAAATGTCTGATCATAAAGTAAATTAAGAGGTGCACAATTGCATTATGTAATAAATAATCTGTGAAAGGATCATTTAATTTTATTCAGTGGTATAGGAGAAGTTTCGGAGAAGAGATGGGTACCCTTCAATATTTTAAAATGAAAAGCATTGTACACGTTTTGTTATGGGAAACCCAAAATATGTATCGGATCAAAACGTAAAATAGGAGGTGCACAATGGCACTATGTTTTATTAAATTTCTCTCAGTGGTATAAAAGGAAGGAGTTGCAGATAAGAGATGGGTATCCCAAAGCGTAAGAAACGGACGGACATCCTGCTCACTATATACCCTCCCAATTTTCAAGCAGGGAGTATAAGAGTTTACATAAATGATGATCTTAAAGTGTATTCCTTTTGATGAAATGTGCATTAAAATGTTATTTTTACAAGCAACATTTACTTGTCATTATAGGGAGTAAACTCATTTTAAAGAAAATGTATATTCCAAATGCATGGAGCTTACACAATAAATTCTTACCTTTTACTTTGTTCCGATGATTTACAATGTCTCCTAAAGCACTTTCACAAAACTGTCCCAAACTTTGGTTTCATAAAAACTCGTTATTTATTATTTTTATGTTATACTGATATAAGAAATGCCACTGTATCATATTTTAGATGAACAATGAAATAATTACAATATAAATACACGCTTATTAATTAGGAAGTCAAGCGTTTACGGATGAAAATATGTTCATAATTCGGGATCAGTGATCTAGCTGCATTCATAACTTGAAATAAATGAAGATGACATCGTTTCAATATTCATCTTGATTATTGAAGATTTTCATCAGTTGATTAGTTTTAAAGTTTACTTCACATGTAGAAGATTGATTATCAACAATATAATACAGATTGGAGACATCGAGATATATCCTGTTACATTAGTGTTCTTATCAGGCTCAGTTCTTGAAGGTTTCTTGCTAGGAAGTGGTGGAAAAACTGGTTCTAACGAAGCAGGATTGGATGTAAATTCAATGTCTTTTCCAACTTCTAACAAAACTGTTTTCCCGTCGTACTTTAAGTTTATTGGATGTTTTGCCCTCTTGGTTAATGTTACATTAGTTTTGTCATTCGTGAAAAAGAAATCTATAGATCCGCCAAGATAGTCCAGCCCTGTGATTTTGAAAGATGTTGATGACGGTGGAAGACGTCCATGGAAATCGATTCTGTCTGGATGAAGACGGATGCCACCATAACCAAACAACAGGGACTGTAAAAATCCGCCCATCCCTGTAATAAAGTTAACGGCCCCTGTACCATCGGCGTTCTCCGTCCAAACCTGTAAAGAACACAAATAATGTATTCTGGATTTCTGTTGGTTAATACACTGAATAAAAGACCAAAGGATATCAAGCATTGGTGTGTCCTTTTTCACCAAATCTAAAAACCGGAACTAAACAGTTCTCTATCGTGAATTTTCTCTGTATCGTGAATTGTCTATTACCAAAGTTCCTTATTTCCCTCAATATAATTCAGGCTTTTTTTTATTTTCATTACTGGTTCTCAACAGCAAGTATGGAAAAAATTGAACATGTTCTGTGACTACAGGATTATTGAATTCCTTTACCATACACATAGATCTTACATTAAAGGGAGCTGCAACATTGCCTTCTTGCTTTTTGAATAACCTGGCTGCTTCTGCGGTGTCATTAAGTTCCAGATAACCGATCGCAAACATTCCCCAAGTCATGGCCGGTCCGGCGGGGGTAGCCTTAAATTAAGAAAACAATGGTTTTTCAAATCTTTTATCAAAAAAGCAAACTCATGACGGCATAAAAGTAACTGATAACATATATACTGAAACGCAAAAGAAACGCAACAAACAGTAATCTACAAATGTTTGAATTTTTTATCTAATGATTTTTTAAAAAGAATACAGTAAGGCTAAACTCACTTTTCAGATAATCAGAGGTTTGATAAAAATGTTAAATGTTTATCTTTTAACTTTACTAAGTAACATATGACTTTTAAAACACCCCCCTCCCAGCCATTCAAACATTGTTTTTTTTCAATAGGTTAATCAATATCGAGATCTGAGCGAAGGAATTATTCTTTGCCATTTTTAAATGACTGTTTTTCAGATGATTAGGTCGAATTTTCTCTAACTTAGCGCATTGTAGTTACCCTTGGACTTCCGGTCAAATGACTATCATTTATGAATATAATAGGTAAGGCCAAGTTGAGGCGCAATTTAGTGAATTTTTGCATCATCAACTCTCCATCACCTTTACTTTAAGATTTTCCAGCTACAGCAATGGAAATGCGTACTTAAGCCATTTTCAAGAAGCCTTAGTTTCGTTACGGGAAACGAAAGAAGACTTTATTTTTTAAATATTGCTGCATTACGTAAGATGAACAGTACAAACCCTTAAAACTCCATAATATTGCCAAATGTTTTGTAAAACATGCAATTTTTGATTTCTGTTAAGCAGACTCAAACTTGATTTCCGGTTATAGTATGAAAATCGTTCAACCGTTGAATTATCGATATTTACCAAATTGAAGATATCCATAATTTTAAGATACAATTTTTTTTATTTTACATAATTATTTCACCCTATAGTAGGGCGTTGCGTTTCTTTTGCGTGTCAGTATATATAGTTATTGATGCATTTCCTTAATCTGGTCATGTCAAAATGTGAAGACAAAATTGTTATTCTTTATTTTTTGAATTTTACAATTGATAACAAACAAACTTTAGAATATCTTTGGATCGCATTATAGCTGACTTGTTTCATACCAATTGATAGACCTTTGTTTTCAAACTGATTTTGACTTAGGAATTTTTGTCAACCTGATCAATACATAAGGCTCAATAAGGAGTGACCAAGTGATCAATATTGAGTGTCTGCTCCTCTAAGGCATCTGATTCCACTACAATTGTAAGGGTTCGTGTTTTAAGCCTTCCTCATAGATTTGTATTATTAATGGATTTTTTTTAGAATGATCATTGTTCAGTATTGTTACCTTATTCTTTTAATCGAAGAACATACAGCGTATTATTTAGGAAGGAAACATGTCAATATAATAAATGAGTAAATGCTACTTAATATACAGATATATTACGTTTTCATAAATTAAAAGGTCGTTTCTTCGCACGTCTCCAGGCATAGCCATCATTAAAGGAAACCCCATCAAAATAACATCTGCCTGTTTTACCTCTTCGCCTTAAAAAATAATAAAAAAAGCAAACAACATTTTACAGTGAAGATAGGATAATTGTATATCAACAAAAGCACATGCATATAAAGCAGTGCAAAAATGAGTTTTCGGAGAGCAAGATCTACATGTACCTTGTGAATATCCGTCAAACTCTGGATGATAACGTCGTGACTTGTCAAAAGGAATGTACATAGTGTCTGCCACCTCCTTATATAAAGGCTTGGAGCTCTGACCCAGAAGTCCGTCAATAAACTCTGTGAGGCGCAAACTCAGTTGTGCCACAAGGTTTGTGTAGGCGGAGTTGTTCACTTGGTGGTGGTACTCATCTGGTGGCATCACATCTATCAACAAAGAAAATAAGAAAATTTAAACATCAGTTATTCCTCCTCTAAACTATCGCTCTACCTCAGACAAAAGAGGAGAACATACTGGTAACTTCAAGCATAACCGAATCACATTCAGGTCTTCTTTTTTTCAATTATCTCTGAAATGAACTTTCGTGATATTTGATTTTTATAAAGATGTTCTCCAACGATTTACATCTATATACCAACATTTAATCAAATAATTAAAAAGGGTATCGAATATTCTTCAATAAAACACAGAAAATGTCAGACTATGTAATTTTTTTTTAATATAAAAAGACACATCACAAAACATATACCAAAGATTTCATATTGGCTAGTCCTTTTGTTAAATACTGCACGGGATTCCCAAAATTCAGCAATATCTCTAATCATTTCATTCCCTCGTTCATGGATTAGAAAATCCGTATCTCGTGTAAGGTAGATGTATTGTCTGGCGGCAAAAGATATATCGCCTGTTATGTGTTTCTCAAATTGAAAGTATGGAGGAACTGGCGTGACGTCATATCCTGCATAAAAGAGGAAATATTATTTTAAATTCAACAGAAATGGCGCTGAAAATGTTAAAGATGTGTTTAAGTTTGATAAAACTATTATACCACTAAATGCACTTTCCCATGGATACATAGCTCCCCTGAAGCCCCTCATCATGGCTTGGTGTTTAGCATTATCTAGAGTCCTTATTCTAGTTTTGATTATAGCCTTGCCAATATCGCTGTGCAATAACTGAATTGGAGGATACATCCATGTCTCTTGGTCCCAGAACACGTGACCATTATACATCTGAACAAAATCATTTCAATGTTATCATTTTATCTGAGTAGTGTTATATTATAAAAGCATACACATATTTTGAAAGAGAACAGAGTAGTGACTGCTGATATTGTTATTTACAGTATCCATTATAATCTATCTCTCAGTTTTACCAATCCATGTGCGAGATCGCCTGGTGAGAGACCAATGAAATCCGGTTTTTCTGACAGAGGAAGGGAGCTGAGTATATAGTAGAGAGATGAGTATATTAATGTAGCTAGGTTTTTATCTCCTACTACGTCGATGCGTCCACTGTTCCAAATACTCTGCCATGACTGTATATGCTGTTTCTCAAGTGTGTTATTGAAGAATAGGTTAACACCTGCAATACAGTCATAAAAACTATAATATGCGACTTCATCTGACTTTCGAAGATTCCATGGCATTCTTTAAAGCAATATAAGCTGCATTTTTGTAAATTTTATTTTGCTGTTAAAATGCGTTATTATGATTAATTTTTATGTAATTTAAATCTTCATGAACAATTAGACTAAAATAAAGGCGAAGAAAGACTTCTATATTCAATCCAATATACAGTTTTATATATAAAATTGTTATTGTACAGGACAACAATAATGTAATTTGATTCAACGGAAGCTTATAAATAGTTCTTCCATCGCAATATGAACAACAGATGTTTATTAACGTAATTTTTTCTGCATTGAAATAGTTATTTAAAATTTGGCAACAACAAAAATTCCTACATCAAAGTTGCAGCTCATATTGCTTTAAAACATTCAGTGATTTTTCATGGATATATATATAGATCTCCAATAATTCTCCAAAAAGAGATGTCTTTGAAGTCTCTCGGAGACCTTTCATGCATTTATTCCTTACGAGATTATTTACATTCTGCATTCTTTGAAATTCAACATTTGGAGATATACATGAACAGAGATCGTTTAATTAATGATTTTCTGAATTTTTTAAACAATCGCTGTGCGATTTTTAAAGCCATCATTGAGAAACTGTTTTAGATTTTATTTTTAATTCTTGTACACAATAAAGACCTCTGGTAAGGATAGTTGGAAGACTGTTTTTGTTGGATTGAACACTTTGTGGAGAAATGTGAAACCACTGAGACATAATGGTTGTCTCTGCGATTGTTAAAAGATTATAGTGAGACCAGGTCAATATTGTATCAGTGGTCGCCAACTTCGTATAAAGGGGGTTAAAAGAGGGGTTTACAGGTGTAGAACAGCAGATGTCATTCTAAATAACCGTGAATTCCCAACCCATACCTTCAGTAAATTGTTCTTTGGCAACTTTTGGATTACTATCAACACTAAGAAGAAAAAGGCGTGCCATCTTTTGATATGGAGCCACACAGACAATTGAAGGGATCCGTGAAGACACCATGGTAACATTACGTGTCTCATTCCAAGAATACTCAAATTCTTTAATTCTTCCAAAAAATATTCTGTTAAAATACAAAGGATATTTCATGATCTTTTAGTGCTAGAATGAATGGACACTTCAATGCAAAAGATTTATCAAATTTTTTTCTTCTGTCAAAAACTACTCACTCCGTATTACTGTCTGAAGGTGATAAGCGCCTCCCACTGAGGTTTTGATCCAGATCTTCAGTCACGGTTGCTTTGCCGCTGCTGATTGACAGTTGTAGAGGCAGGGGCTGGTTGTTCAGTATCACTAGCTCAGTCACCATCAGCTGGGGGAGGGATCGATGGGCGTACATCTTCATTGTCACTGAGAAGTTCTGCCCGCTGTGGCTCTCCACAAACATGCCTTAATAATGTATTGAACAGAAAGATTGATAGAAACAATCAGACAATTTGTTTCAATTTATCATTTCGAATGAACAGTGTATTATAATTGAACAATAATTTATGATCGATATTTCTTCTTACAAACAACTTCAAAATGTGGTAAGTGTCACATAAAATCGCATCAAGAAGATATTTAACTGAGGGTACAATATATAATAAAAAGTAAGTCTTATAATATTGTATTAATTTTACATACCGTTCTTGACGTCTATGCTGTAGTTGGACTGAACAGTTCCGTTGATATTGATACTTTTTATCGTTATAGATGGGAGTAAGGCTCTGTGTGTTTTAATGGCGTACCCGTTATAAAGTCCATTCATACACATCGTGTCTGATTTAACAACAGTAGCAATATGTCCATTTCCAATAGTCGGAAGAATGCGCGTCTCATTTGACAGTCTATAAGTACAGTTGAATTCTTACTGCCATTACATGTCTTTTAAGTGGAAGTTAATTTAAGATAAGCAATGAACTTAGAGTGCAATTTGTACAATATCTTTTGTTCCAACAGACCAACATTCAAGTACATATCATAAGGATTATAATCATTCCTTCTAATGATCTAAGTATTAGATTTTAAACAATAGAAAAAGAAATTGTTAACCTTCAATTGTGTTTTTGGTTTTAGTTTATTTGTAAAATCTGACCTTAGAAAAAGATTATTTCAAAAGTGCTTCAAGATGTAAAATGCGACTTCACAATCCCTAATCATGACTTTCAATGACAGAATTCTTTGAAAGCACGTTATGAAATACACAGTTTAATACTGTAGAGATCTTCAACTGTTCAATCCATTGAGGTATATACGTAGAATCTAAAATTATATAATATAACTTACGTGTCATTACTCAGTACGGTTATATCTGGTGCTGGGGCCAGGAGACGCCCATCTGGAAACGGGATCTTCGTCGTTCGAGTTCCATGAAAAAGATCAATTTCGTTTTTACTTGTGGTTGGGTTTCCAGGAACGGGGCAATCAGCGCATATTGCTAGACGGTCAATGTTACACAGTAAAAACGCAATTCCGAGGATGCGAAAAAGTGCCATGGTCGAATGTGAAATTAATATACTTCTAGTTGGCCTGTTATCTAGCCTAAAATTTAAACAATTAGGTTGAATTACCTGTCTAAAGTTCTTAGTTACCGAAAATTTTTAAATTTGAGTTTGCATCTTACCTATCTCAAAAGTTTTTGTGATAAACACTGAAAAGCACATAATGATACACTTAATGTCAGTATATCAATACAAACAAATGATAAAAGAAAAACATGCACTGGCACTGAACAAATTTATTCATATATTTTCTTACAACAGAAAAATGTTTGATAAAACAAAATGTACAATAAATTATGCTGTTTTTAATTTATACAGTCTGCACAAATATTTAATGATATTTTAAAGTAAATTATCGATTCATTTTTTCTTCATTTCTGGCACAATACTTGCTACAGTGTTTGGAAAAGCTTGTGTCTTTCCTACTAATAAAATCGAGGTTTTAAATTCTGTTCTCAGTTGCAAAACATATCGAGCTGAATGTACTAGACGAACAGAAGTAAACTCCGCTGAAAAACACAAATCTATAGCTCCACCTAGATAGTCCAGCCCTGTGATATTTAATGAAGAAGTTGACGGTGGAAGGCGTCCATGGAAATCGATTCTGTCTGGATGAAGGCGGATGCCACCATAACCGAATAACAGGGACTGTAAAAATCCGCCCATCCCTGTGATAAAATTAACGGCCCCTGTACCATCCGCGTTCTCCGTCCAAACCTGTGTACAAAACCAAGTTATTAAGATGAAGACAGGGTTTTATAAGATAATGGCCGAATAAATTTTGTAAGCGAGTGATTCAAGCCCAAAAACTGAATTATAATTCAATATCATTGATCTAGTATGAAACTGTATTAAACATTTCTTTCTACGGATAATTTCGCAGGCAAAAATCATTTTGATTAAAACTAGATCGTACCAATGAACGCCATCTTCGCTAGCCAAGGGTTTCTGATACGCTACTCTCTTCATAATCATGAGGAGAGTAGCGTATCAGAAACCCTTGGCTAACGAAGATGAATGAACGCATGATTATGTCGCCTGCTTTGTAGAACCATTAAAGATTAAAATAAATCTAATGGTGGTCTCCGCTTTTTCTTTGTTTCAAGCGCGGAGAGAAGATGGGTTCCAAATGGGAAAAGGAGGATTAATTGATTGTATATAGTTTTACATTTCAGCCATATATATTGTTTAAATTAACATTTCAGCCATATTTCGAAGAAAAGGCCGACCAAAAACAACAAGGACGCAACTGTTGAAAAAGAACTCAAAAGATAAAACTTACTTGGGGAGAATGGTAAGGATAGCCAAGAACAGAGAAAAATGGTAATCCCTGGACGTTGTCCTTTGTGCCCCCAGATGCAACAAGGACTAGGTAGGTAACACAGAAGTCAACTTAACTAAGAAAAATTCATTTTTGTTGTTTTGCATTCAAGGTGCACATATATATAATCATTTTGCATATGGTATGTATCTCTGTTCTATAGAATACTTAATTTTTCAAATGCAAGTACAGTGTACTATTATTCTAAATAACATAATTTTGAAATGGTTAATCACGTTCCATCACTTTCTCTAATTTCATCTTATCCCTTACTTGGACGGACAAACTTTGTTTCAACGCATAAATAGTATAGGCTTTACTTACGTAGAGCATATGCTTTTTGATTTCAACAAACTGAAGAATACATTTTCAGTTCAAAAAATTCTCAAACTTTTTAAAAACATAATAAGCTAGAGGCACTGTGAGCACTAAGCTCAGTAAATAATACCCTCGCCTCCGTATGATTATAATGGCAAAGTCCATGCTTTGTTCTCGGAGACCCGAAATAAGTGTCAGGTCAAAAAGTAAAATAGAAGATGCACAATTGCACTATGAAATACATAATCTACAAGAAAGTATCGTTAAATTTTATCCAGTAGTATAGGAGGAGTTGCGAATAAGAGATGGATACCCTTCAATATTACAGTAAAAAATGGCAGTGTCAAAGTTTTGCATTGGGAAACCCAAAATAAGTGTAGGATCAAAAAGTAATCTAATGTGACAAAGATTCTTTAAAAGTCTCATTAAATTTCATTCCGTGATATAAGAAAATTCAGTTGCGGATAAGAGATGGGTACCCCAGAGCGTAACAGACGGACGGCTATCCCGAATCACTATATACCCTCCAACTTTTCAAGCTGGGGGTGGGGGCATAATTTATAAGGCCATATGTCAACATCATCGATGACCACAGTAACCTCCCAAATAACAATCAAGCTAACATTGAAAGGCTTAGCGACGTTAAGGAGCTGCCCAGTAAACTGTGTGGAGGCCTTGTCAATATTGCCAATCTCCAGGTTCCCCACAGCAAACATACTCCAGGTAAGGGCGGGTCCTCCAGGTGTTACCTAAAAATCAAACTTATCAAGTGTATCCGGAATTAATTACGAAAATAAATGAGTTGTGTATTAGAGCATGCATTGCGTATAGCCGTGATTCATTTCTGAACTCACTGCTTCGTATATCTGTAGGTCTTTCTTTCTAGTACTGTGTGGCATATTCAGCATCAAAGGGAATCCCAACAAGATAACATCTGCCTGTTTTACCTGGGTATCTTAAAAACATTATAAAGAAAAGATATATAAAGAAATTATTCTCTAGTTCCAACAGATTTTGAATTTAAGTATATTTTTTTTAAAATATAATTTTTTAAAAAGAGAATACATGTACATGGCAAAGAAAAGACATAATTTTCATATTAATCTATTCAGTTTATTATTCAATGATGAGATAATTGCTTTTTCTTTACAAACTTGCTTACTTTTTGAGTAACCATCAAACTCAGGATGATAGTTCATATTCTTGTCGTAAGGAATGTACAATCGGTCTGCAATAGCTTTGAACCTAGGATCGGACCTGGTGTTTGTTAAATTCCCGACAAGTTCTGGCAGTAGAAGACTCAGTTTTGCAACAGCATTGGTAAAGACCGAGTTATTAACTTGCTGGTGCCATTCATCTGGTGGCATCACGTCTACACATGTACAAACAGACTGGTAACGAATTCTACAGAGCTATAAGGTATATGTAGCTAAATTTGGGGAAAATGTTCTGTAGAGTGAATAAGGCCAAGCTACATGCATTACCGTTGGATAGACTAGAAAACTGATCGAGCTCAGAACAAAATGGAATTAAATACTAGTACTCACCGTGTATTTCGTACATATTTGTTGAAGAATTGAAAGTAACACGCGAAGCCCAAAATTTGGCTATTTCGTTGGTTAAAAGTTGTCCAGATTCTTGTTTCAGGAAATAAATGTCACGTGTCAGGTAAAGGTACTGTCTAATAGCAAATGAAATATCGCCGGTAATGTGTTGTTCGTTTAAGAAATATATAGGATCTGCTGTTACATCAAGACCTATAAAGAAATAAAATAAAACATTTTTATCTCGCATTATGTCTGATTACTTCCATGTAAAATTTGTATAATACATTGCAATAAATGAGTACCTGAAAGTGCAGTTTCCCACGGATACATGGCGCCATCATATCCTCTCATTTTTGCTGTTTCTTTAGCGGCTTCCAATGTTTTGATTCTGGTTTTAACAATGGCCTTCCCTATCTGACTGTGTAGTAAAAGTATCGAGGGATACATCCACGTTTCTTGGTCCCAGAACACGTGACCCATGTAATCCTGAGTGGAAAAGAACAAACGCGATTCTTATTAATATTCAACACCTCGATGAGTTATGTTTTGTGATGTGTCTTACCTTTAAAACATATTTTTTTTATCTAGACAGTGTTCATGTTGTATCTAGGTAGAGATATAAATCTTAAAAATATAAGGAACTCTATGAGGGTCATACTTTAGAACCATTTGAAATCAATTCATTTATTTCTTGTTACGGTGTACAGAGTGCAAGTTTTGGCTCTCTTCGTGCAATGAACATATAAAGAAGCTATACTTGTTCAGAATAATCATCTCCCACAGATGGATTGTTGTTTTATTGATTGTTTTATTGTTTAACGTCCCTCTCGAGAATTTTTCACTCATATGGAGACGCCACCACTTGCCGGTGGAGAGCTGCAAATTTCTCTGAATTTATTGAATTTTCTGAAAGAAGGTTCTCCTGGTTAAGGAATTCAAGAACTTTCAATTAAAGCACCTCTGGTTCAAGGTTGTACATTAAAGGTTTTTTCTCTTTAATTTCATCGAATTTTGGTCAGAGAAGCTTATTTGGCGAACGGATAACTTGAGTGTTCTCTAATTAATAATGTAAACCTTACCTGATCACCGGATCCATGAGCCAGATCGCCAGGCGACAATCCAACAAAATCACGGGACTCTTCCAGAGGAAGAGAACTTAAAATATAATACAAAGATGAATAGGCGAGGGTAGCAAAAGTTTTATTTCCGTTTATGTCAACGCGTCCAGACTTCCATAATTTTGCCCAGGCGTTCACGTGACTGGATTCGAGTGTCTGATAGAAAAACATGTCGATACCTACAATATATAGTGGAAAATAGCATTTTAGTTGTATTAGCAGCCAGGCAACAGTCGTGATACTGAAAGCAGTCGTGAAATAGATATTTCCAAAACTGAGCGGACAGCAAAGCAAACCTTTATTGAAAGACTTCTTGGCGATTCCTGGATCTGAATCGATGCTCAGAAGGTAAAGATGGGTTATTTGCTTTTTGGGCTCTATAGTGATTTCTTCTGGAATTAATGTGTGTATCATGGTAACGTTCTGTAGTCCTGTGATGTCATATTCACTCTTTTTTGTTCTTCCACTTATGGTACTATATTTTAAAAAAAAGATCCTCAATTATTCAAATAATAAACTGCATATCAAAATCAAGAGGTTCAAGGGCCTTAAAGGTCACCTGAATATAAACCAACAAAATTGTACAGAATCCATAAAAGCATTAAATATAACATATTATACTAAAAGATGAGGTTGTTTTGACCAAAATCATTAAAAAATATAATGAATAGGATCAGTAAAATAGCAATTCTAGTACTCAGTAACAAATTAAAAAGCTTATTTACATTTGTTTAAATGTACTCAGCCAATTTTCAGTATCACGCACCATTCTGACTAACAAAACAATTATAGTTCTTGAGCACGGTAAGAAATCCAATTTGATCCCTTTTTAAAAAGTTAATAATTAACTCATTTTTCACAGACTCCATGATACACTGTATATGCTGTATTTAAAATTACCGGGTTATGTTGGCAAAAATGATAGAATAGATTTGTGCATATATTTCATATACAGTAAAAGGTTTTGAATCTTAGATTTGTGCATATATTTCATACACAGTAAAAGATTGTTGAATCTTGAAATCAAACAAAATGTAGAAGGAAAAAAAAAAGAAAATTCTACACCAGTAATATGTTTGCAATCAAAAACCTGAATATTTTATGTATCTTAGTGTATTCTACTTGTGTCCAAGTTATATTGAAATCAGACCAAAAGATTAAACTTTTTTAAGTACAAAATTTCCAAGGTAACCATGGCAAAGGTTAAAAAGGTAAAGGTAATTGGTATCCAATGAAAGGTCTTGCCACATCTAATACTTCTGTAGAGTATGGAAGCCCTAGCCCTAACCGTTCAGATGTTATGGCAAATTTTTTTTAAAGTAGGTCAAACTCCCAGGTCAAGGTCAAGGTCAAAAGGTCAAAGTTCTTGTTAGCAAATGAAAGGTCGTGTCACAAGGATTAAATATGTAAAGTATGAAAGCAGTAGTCCTAATCCTTTAAAAGTTACGGTCAAGGTTTGCTTTTTTAAATTAGGCCAAAGGTCAAGGTCAAAGGGTAAAAGTGCTTGGTATCTAATGAAGGGTCTTCTCACAGGAACAGAAATTTACAAGGTGAAGGTCAAAGGTTCAAGATTGTTGGTATCCAATAAAAGGTCTTTCAACAAAGAATACATATGTGAAGTATAAATGTCCTGGTATCTACTGTTCAAACGATATGGCCAAAGTAAAAGTTTTTTTCATGTAAAAGTGGGTAAAACTCCAAGGTCAAGGTCAAAAGGTCAAATTTGGTGGTACCCAAAGAAAGGTCTTGTCACAAGGAATACACATGGGAAATATGAAAGTCATGGCTCCACTAATCCTTCAAAAATTATGGGCAAGGTTAAAAGCTTTTTTATTAGGTCAAAGACAAAGGTCACGGGACAAAAACTAAGGGGTGTAAAAGTGCTTCCAGGACGAAATATTTTCTAAAATTTCAAAGTAGTGCTTAACTGAAGAGATGAATTTTGAAGTATGACAAAGACACAAGAGTGTGCTTTATATTTATAGCAATTCATTTCTAGCAGGAAATTATAGGATTTTCTTCCATATGAGAATAGATATAACATCCTTAAAGCACTCGAATGATAGAAATGCTGGTCATTCTGAGTGAAAGTAAAGGGTAATTTACTTTTGTTTCTACATAGCTTATCTTGCATCAGACAAGCTGATGAGCTGATGAGCGTATAGGTATAAGAACGATAGATCACTTTTCAAAAGAATAGTTTTGTCATTTTGAAATTTTTCATAGATTTGATGATTTTTGCAGAGAATTTGAAAGGATGTTTGACCTGTATGCTAAATATATGTCACAAATATGCGTCATTCCTAATTTTTCTGAACAGACATCCTCTGTTTTATTGTTTTAATACCTACCCTCCCCTTATTGTTTCAACAAAATACAGTTAAAACCTTATCAATAGCAAGAATGGACTCTGTAAACATTAAATATCATAAATTGTAAACATTTTTTCACAAACGTATTTCAGCTAGAAAATTTAAGAAAGAGAGAGAGACGAACTTTCTTAACACCCTTTATATACTCCCGAAACTTCGTTTACGGGGGCATAAAAGGAGGGGTTGTTCCACTAAGGCTATAGATTTAAAAACTGGCATACATAATCAACATTTTTTTTAATGATGCCTAAGAATTGCAATTAAAATTTCTTTATAGTTAAATCTAAAGAAATATTTGGCATGTCTACTGTATATTAGCTTTTTGATCGTGTAATAATGAAATTAAATAAATCATTAGTTGGCGCAAAACTGTTAATTACGAACCATCTTTTTACCCGATAGAGTGGTTTGAGGTTGAGGTTACTTCTAAGTCTTCAGTATCAGAGATTTTTGTGGTTTTCAAATCTAGGGTAAGGGTGGCTGGTCCTGTGTTCTGCACTGTCAACACGGTTACAAGTAACTGTTTCACAACCCGGTGAGCGAACATTTTTAGTTGGATTGAAAAATTTTCCGTTTTATATTCCTCTATAAACATAGCTAAAAGAGAAATGAATAAGTCCATGATAAAAAAAAAACAACTTCACTTATGCAACAACAATAAGTAAGGATTCATTAGTCATCTAATTAACAGAAGGCCAAAGGGCCAAAACAGTCACCTGAGTATAAGACAATACTTTAAAGATTTCATAGATTGAGGTATACAAACAAAACAAATAAGCAGATAGGTGAAGGTAACTGTCAGATGCAACTTTAAGAAACTAAGATATTCAAAATGTCCAGCAACAGAACACTTGAACCAGTAATCCAGAATTTCACAAATATGGTAAAATTACCCTTGCTTTAAAGAACTTTGCACTTAGTTTGCCTTCAAGATTTTCAAAGGATTGATGAGGAGACTAAGGTGTCTTGAATTTTGAAAGAGGCATTCTTGCTCAAAATAACCATGCACTTCATTGATTTTCTAAAATACACGGAAATTTCAAATAATTGGAATTTTTCTAAGTCCAAGGGACAAAACTCTGTAAAATATTGCTCGATCGTACCCAAAACAGGACTTGACTTAAATCTGCTCATCAAATTCCATTTTGAACAGTATGTGCAACCTCCGCAAAGAAAATAACGGAAACTTGCAAATAATTGGAATTTTTCTCACTCCTAGGGGCATATTGCTCGATCGTACCCAAAACAGAACTGATCTAGATATTCTATGATAAATCTGTATACGAAATTTCATTTCTGCGAAGAAATTGTTGGTGGACCGAAAGAGAGAGACAAAACGATAAACAAACAGCAGTTAAGCATTATGCCCTCCCTTCCTAGAAGGGGGCATAAAAATAGACAGGATTTCAGAACTTAGAATTGGAAGCTGTAATATGTAAACAAGATTTACAAAACTATTTTTAAACGTTGCATATAGAACAAGAGGCCCATGGGCCACATCGCTCACCTGAGAATCTTTTGTCATATTGTTCTTTACCAGATTTCCCCCTTGTAATACATATTGTGGCCCCGCCCTACCACGGGGGGTCATGAATTGAACAATTTAGAATCTACCCTACCCCAGGGTGCCTCCACATCAGTTTCAGCTTTTCTGGCCCAGTGGTTCTTGAGAAGAAGATTTTCATAGATTTTTCCTATATATTTCTATGAGAAGAAGATTTTAAAGACAATATATTGATGCCCCATTGTGGCCCCGCCCTACCCCCGGGGGTCATGATTTGAACAATTTAGAATCTACACTACCCCAGGGTGCTTCCACATCAGTTTCAGCTTTTCTGGCCCAGTGGTTCTTGAGAAGAAGATTTTCATAGATTTTTCCTATATATTTCTATGTAAAACATTGATGCCCCATTGTGGCCCCGCCCTACCCCCGGGGGTCATGATTTGAACAATTTAGAATCTACACTACCCCAGGGTGCTTCCACATCAGTTTCATATGGTTCTTGAGAAGAAGATTTTCATAGATTTTTCCTATATATTTCTATGTAAAACATTGATGCCCCATTGTGGCCCCGCCCTACCCCCGGGGGTCATGATTTGAACAATTTAGAATCTACACTACCCCAGGGTGCTTCCACATCAGTTTCAGCTTTTCTGGCCCAGTGGTTCTTGAGAAGAGGATTTTCAAAGATTTTTCCTATATATTTCTATGTAAAACTTTGATTCCCCATTGTGGCCCCGCCCAACCCCGGGGGTCATGATTTGAACAATTTAGAATCTACACTACCCCAGGGTGCTTCCACATCAGTTTCAGCTTTTCTGGCCCAGTGGTTCTTGAGAAGAAGATTTTCAAAGATTTTTCCTATATATTTCTATGTAAAACTTTGATTCCCCATTGTGGCCCCGCCCAACCCCGGGGGTCATGATTTGAACAATTTAGAATCTACACTATCTCAGGGTGCCTTCACATAAGTTTCAGCCTTATTGGCCCAGTGGTTCTTGAGAAGAAGATTTTTTAATGACCCCACCCTATTTTTGTCTTTTCTTGATTATCTACCCTTGTGAGGGGACTTGGCCCTTCATTTTAAGAATTTAAATTCCCCTTCACCCAAGGATGCTTTGTACCAAGTTTGGTCAAAATTGGCCCAGTGGTTCTTGAAAAGAAGTCGAAAATGTGAAAAGTTTACAGACGGACGGACGGACGTACAGACAGACAGACGGACGGACGACGGACAAAATGTGATCAGAAAAGCTCACTTGAGCCTTCGGCTCAGGTGAGCTAAAAATCGCAGAAATTTCATTTTTAATATGATGACACTTTAGTATAATTATGATTAAGTATCAGTTTATAACTGAATAAATCCATCTGCATTCCTGGAATGAAATGTATTTAACAATATGTAAATCATACCTGCTGCTAAGTCAAGACTATAGTTTGATTTGGGACGTCTGGTACTCTTTATGTCAATGTCTTTTATAAGTACAGCTGGCATTTTGGCACGATGACTAGTTATGTTATGTCCATTGTAAAGTGCATTCATAAAAACTGCATCACCTTTGACCACAATTGCGACATGACCATTTCCAATGGACGGCATGAGACGGGTATCCAGTGGCAGACTGCAAAAAGTAAACAAAAGTCGACATACACGTACATGTATTGTCAAAGTACTTTGATCCCCCCCCCCCAAAGCCATAATATTCCGCGGAATCACTTGTCAATTAATCCCTCTTTACTTCGCAGGTTGAAAATTGCGCGGATTTATCAGATTGCCATTATATGCTATTCTTGAAACTACTAGTATTCTGGAAAGTAAGCTCTGAGACCGCATACAAAGAGTAAATAATTTATTTTTTTTTATAATTTATTTATTTTGTAATAACCTGTTTACTGCAACCCGGTAAATTTTTGAAATTTACAACATGACACAATATTCAGAGACTTGAGTTCCGTACGATGTTGGAATTTGCATGCTTTTATTTAAGGAATAACTGTCTTATTTTTCGATTTCATGATGTGATCAATCGATAGGCTTGCGTGATAATTTGCATAAACGCCGAAGGCGTTTATGCATAAAATTATCACGCAAGCCTATCGATTGATCATCGTCATGAAATTGAAAAATCTGACAGTTATTCCTTATATTTACATGCCTTGATTCCGCCAATCCACGTGCTCTAAGCCCTGCTTCTGTCTACCTGTTTGTCCCGCCCTGCGCGTGGTTTTTTTTTTTTTTGGAACCGCGCCAATACATTGATGGGGAAATAAAGTACATTTACAATTTGTAATTTTATCTCGGACAAAGACATTGGAAATGTAAATATAAACTGTTATAAACTGTTCAAATGATTTTTTTGGTCAAAATGTAAATATTTAAATGTTCAGTACCTTTCTGTTGATAACGTTGTGATTCCTGGGAGCATGTAGGGAGAAGTTATGGTTGACACACTTGTCAGTCTGATACTTCTGTCTCCGTGTGACAAAGCAAACATGTCCCTGGCCCTGAGACTACATCCCGTAAATTCATCTTTTATTCCGAATAGGATAACTTCACACAACACAGTTTTAACAAAGGTTACTGCAGCAGCCAACAGCATTTTGAAGTTATTATTTAAGCGTGTTTTTCTTGACAATATTTGCAGCTTGAATTATCTCTAGTACATGTAAAGATTAAGCCTATACATGTAGATAGATTAATTCCTTGTGTAATTACAACGAAATATCTGAACAGCATATCGATTGTATTGTACAAAGTTCAAAGTGTTTCAGTTCGTGAAGCGTTTAACATAAAATGGTTAGTGACATTTAACATAACATGGTTAGTAACATAACAGGCTCACAATCTGATTAAAATCAGATATTTGTAACGCTCCGAAATTCGGATGGTCTTTTGTAAAGACCTGTCAATTTGAGCAGGCCCAGTGCCAGTCTCCCATGCAGAGTTCTCTCGGATACCTCTGCAATGGGCTCACTTCAAAATGTTTGACATAACGTATAAAATGTGATTTTTGCAGGATTGTTTCAAATCAAATTAATAAGAAGATGGTAGAGAGTGGTCCAGTGTCATGGTATACAAAATATATTATCTTTTTTCCAAATGCTGCAGATACTGTCGTTTTAATTGTTCTCATTTTTTATAAGTGGGACCAGTGCTTATTATAACCGCATTCGGTTTGTTTTCGAAATAACCATGGGCGGAGAATACTCATAGAAATAATGAATTTCTAATACATATTTAGAGAGTCTCGTCCTAACACCAAAATTATCATCTGCCCCCAGGGGTAAGAATTTCAAATTTTCTGAAAAGACATCCTTGCTCATTAAAGCTTTGCCCCGACACCAGCTGAACTCCTGGACTAGGTGCTAAGATAAGAGGTGTCCTTGCTCATCAAAACTAAATAAACTTTGTTTATCTGCAGTTTTAAATACCTACATGTAGGAGCAAAGAAGATTTTCAAAGAAATTAATAATGCTCATTTGTTCTACGTTATTGATAGAACCCCTCACCCAGGGGCAACAAAATTTTAGAATTTTGGAAGAGACGCTTTTCATTAAACATATGGAGATAACGAGCAGTATTCAAGATCAAAAATCCATAAAACAATACAAAATACGAGCAGAGCAAACATGAACCTCCAAAACATCAGAAGTGGGATCAGGTGCCATGGAGGAGTGAGCATTCCCTGCCGACCAGTCACACCCTCCGAGTGCTTCTTGTCATGATCGTTAAATAACGGAAAAATCCGTCGTCAAATTAGTGTATAAATAATGGACTAAAAATAAGTATGAAAAACGTCAGCATTTGACTCAATGAAAAATTGTATTTGCTGACAAGGTCATATTGTATCGACCATAAAACTTATGAAATGATGACTTTACAGGGGATGTTGATATTCTTGCTTCATCAACTTGTTGTCAATAATTTACCTCGTTTTAGAAATTGTTCATACGTAGAGCATGCTCTTGTGTATGGCGAATCGACAGCTGGGATATATAAGCTCCATATGCAGCTGATGAAGGTAAATTGAGCACTGCATAAGTAAGGGAAGTTGACAATTGAAAAGTTAAAGTCATCACGTTTATCATAGAGCTTGGTTGTTAGATTATCATTGAGTTTAGCGGTGTCCATTGATAAAAGCGCAAGCCCCTGCCCCTTAATGCTTGCTCTTGGTTAAGAGAGCAACAGGCTCGCCTGTATCAAAAATATACTTAAAAATATATTTTGTTGTTGCTGGTTTTGAGATAATTTGGAAATATGACCCTTTCCAGATGTTTGCATTGAACTATTTGAACTCCTTTGAAATATTTTTATTAAATCATCAGAAAAGAGTCTTCTTATGTAAATCTTATAAAACTAAGACACAAAAGAACCTTTTAACAAGTAACATATCCATATATGAAACAAATGTGTCAGACTCTGAGGTATCTTATATCTCAAGCTCACTAGGATATATCGTATCGACATAAGAATGGAAATTATCATTCTATTTGGTAATTGACAATACGTCGTCGATATATCTAAATGTCGAGTTGAGAGCCACAGCAAGTGTTTTTTTTTTCTTTTCACGCACAAAATGTTGAACAAATTCTGCTTTATATGAATATTAATACAAACATAGGTCTGCTAATAACGGGGTACAATTGGTACCCATGGGAATTCCAGTAGATTGTTGGAAGATCTCGTCTCCAAAAACAACATAGATATTGTCAATCAGAAACTCAAGCATCTTTTTATTTCAACTTCAGGGTACTTGTGTGTACAATTAGAATGTTTTTAACAATATAATTTTGTAAACGACCAATGACAAGGTAAGTAAGTTGACGAGTTCCATTTTTATTGAAAAAGCAGCTGTCAATGATTTTAAAAAGCCTGGACTTTAAAGGTACTTGGACACAGGTTTGAAGTTATTATTTTCTCTATAATATTACGACTTATATTTTTTTATAGCATTTCACACAAAAATTAATTAAAAATCTTATTTCATATAAAAGATATTAATATTTCAAATTTTTTGGCGGGTTTGATTGACACATCCTTGCACCTTTACAAATTAATTAAATATTCTTAATCTTTAGGAAAAGTGGCAATCTCGTTGTGTATAAATGAAAAGTACCAATACTATAACCCAGAAAATACAAAGTAGACATGTTCGAAAGCAAAACAAACACACAATATATTGTCAGTCCGTGCAGTTGTGACGATTTAGAACGCACCCGGTGAATTCTAAACATAAACAAAAACATAACTCGTGCCCTGTTTACAAAAACTGTGTACATAACACGAGTGTGCTCGATTTGCTAAACCATGTACGCAACTCTTAGTTCGGAATGACGATACTTGTGAAGGAGTTTTGCTTTCTAACATCTCTACTCTGAATAAAATTATTTTTCTGGATAAAAGTTTTAATATTTCTCATTAATACACAACAAGATTGCTACTTTTCCTAAGGATTAAGAATAAGGTTAAAATTTGTGAAAGTGCAAGCATGTGTCAATCAAACCCGCCAAAAAATTTTAAGTTTTAATAACTTTTAAATGAAATAAGATTTTAAATTAATTTTTGTGTGAAATGCTATTAAAATATATAAGTCGTAATATTATAGAGAAAATATTGACTTCAAATCTGTGTCCAAGTACCTTTAATGTATCATAGGGAATGGTTTTGTATAAAGTTGAAAATTCGTAAATTTTTAAGCTGAAGCTGTTGATTTTGGTAAAAGATCTGTGATTTTAAATTGTCTAAAACTTCCTTGGATTTTATAAGTAGATGTTCTTTGGAATTTTTGAGTAACAACATCTGATTTACATCACTTTTTGAATATATTGTTGCAAAGTACTCTTGAAGTTTCTACTTCACTACTGTTAAAATCTTAGTGAGAAGTAATGAAAGGGGCTTGGTTGAACATTTACTGGTACCCGCTATGTTTCTTTGTTTGTAAGGATTCTTATTAAGTTTCGGAATCCAATATATGCTCATATATATGTCAGTTCAAATTCATTTTGGTTCTTTGGGATACTAAAAGTATTCAAAATTGACATGTGATTTTGAAGAATTTCTTCCTTGGAAAGGGAACTATGAGTATACATGTATATAGTTGGGTCACCACATGTAGAATTAAATCCAATGTAGAATTAAATACAATTTACCCGGTATATAATGAGTCTTACAATCAAAGACAATGTTGTTTTCTGCTTTGTCAGCAGGTACGTACTGACGTAATCTATCTAATTCTTCTTTCACTTCTGGATTGTTGAATACAGAAGGATAGATTGTTTTCAAATTGTCCCCCAATCTTTTATAAATACGTTATTTTAACATGGATCTGATACATTTAATTCATTCTGACCAAGTGCTAACGTTTTCTTTTTCATAGCTGGCCCATCTTCTGGCGTCATCTTCAATAGAATCCAAATATTCATGAAATTCCGATGCCAGTTGAAGGATCGGGGTTCCCTATATTTAGGACATTTTATTAAAATAAGTGATCTAAGGTCCTCATTATTAACAATATTTACATCACCTGAAATAACTTGTCCAGCAGGACTAGAGTTACAGCTAAGAAGATCATGAACAAGAGGGAGGATTATGTTTCAGACACTCGCGACTTAGGCCATGTTAAAAGTTTTCTAGTAACTGAAAAGTTTGGAAGCAATAGTCGAGGTATATTTGTAGGAAATACAAGGTGTAGTCTTTAACTTGAAAATGTTGGAATACAAGACTGGACCCTATTGTGACTAAAAATATTACTTATACTATCCGCGTTAATTCCTTTACTGGCATATTGAAGTTTAAGGAAAAGATGGATTGTATTGGCTACATTTTCTTCAGTAAAACATGGGGGTGGGGTTAAAAAGCCTACGATTTGCAATATCCATAATCACGTATCCGAGTAGATATATATATTCTAGTGTCGAGGAAGACCGATGCCCATGACTACGCCGCGGCTTTATGTCTCTGTGTATTGTTAAAAAGTCCCATCACATTTACATTGTAACACTGTAGACCGGAAAGATTTTTCCAATACACTGCACTATCGACATTGTCATTACACCCATAGGGAAAGGCTGTCCCTAAAGATTTCAAATCCAAAACTCTCGTTGTAGATACGGAAAGGTGTACTCTATATTACTATGACCAATCATGACTTTGCTGTTCTTGAGAAGATTTTAAAAGATTTTTGCTAAGTCAGTTAAACTTCGATCCCTTAGTGGCCCCATCCTACCCAATATGTATCTACACTACCTGAGGATAGCTGCTAAGCATCATGCCTCCACATGGGTTTCATCTTTTCTGGTCCAGTGGTTCTTAAGAAGAAGATTTCTAAAAAGATGTCATTAAGTTTTCACTGATCAAAAATTATCTCCCCTTGGAAGATGTTGTGGCCCTTCATCTGAACAAACTTGAATCCCCTTTACCCGAGGATACCCTGTGGCAAGTTTGGATGAAGTTCTGGAGAAGAAAATAAAAATGTGAAAAGTTTCCGACGATGACAACTCTGACAAATTGAACGACAGACAACGAATAAAGAACGAGTGCACTTATGGGCCCCTGTAAAATGTGAAAAAATAAACGATCAAATTAAGCAAAAATTTTCATCTCGAATCATTAATTGATATCTAAACCATACGATTCAACAAATTTTACCGCTGAAATCCACGAATATACAAAGAACAAAATTATACAATGTAGTAGGGGTCAGCCGACATTGGCGATTTTCTATAGTAAATCGAGAACGGTCATTCATTTCAAAGCCTTTGTTAACTATGAGCCTAACGTTGTGCAAACTTGTGCGAATGACAAAAGACGCATATTACATTTATAAAACTTGTGTGAAAGTATGAAATTTGCACACGATTAGGCTCGTACTTAAAATATTAAAAATGTATAAAAAGTACAATGTTTTTCCTATGGCAAATGCGAGCTATTTACCTGTATGACCCATGTTGAACCCACGTGTGGAATAAATTATCTGAAATACCGATAGTCACGTGAGTTCTACCCAGGTAAACATTCCTCAAAAGTGCTCACTGTAAAACATAGGCAGATTTTGTTTCAGTAAGTCAAAGTCGTGCCGCTTAGAGATGTTGTATGTATTAGTTTTTAAGAACACGGGAGAGTAAGGAGATCTAAGTGTCGTTCATAAAGTGTCAAACATTTTTAATCTTCATGCAAGACAATGAAACAGGTATTGAAAGCCACCTATACATGTAACACTCCTTTTTAATTTCAAATTCAATGAAACTATTATTGTAATTTTTCAAATGCAAGCTAGAGTACCAATTTCTTAGTTTAATCATTTTAGATACAGGTAAGTACACAACTTCATTCCATATTTTTAAAAACAGGTTTGGTGCAAGATATATCATTCCGAAAACGCGCCCGACTATGATCCACCATCAGATTGTTCAAGTATCGTTATGTTCTAATTCGTTTCACTCAAACGAACATAAATTATTTACAATAATAACAACACACTTGTTTAGGAAGAGGTTCGATAATCTGCCATTTATTACACGTACAATATACATAATAATTCCGTGAATCTCATCACTTCTTTCTGAAATAGAGAAAATACACATTAGACTTATGACTATATACAGAAAACCATATACATTAACTTAAACAGTTCTTGTCATGTCCTGAAAATTAAATCCTAACTGACACTTAGGGTGGGTGGGGGGGTGTAACGTTGGCGAAGAAAAGCCTTCGAATGAGTAAAATTCGTGCTTAACTTGAATACCTGTTCTACAGGTATTGTTAAAAATAGAAATCAATGGCTATAGACTTTTAATATAGAACCATAACAAATAACACGTGTTCAAGTACATACGATAAATAAATATTTAAATATCTATTCCCTTGATTTACATAAACGAAACTAAAAAAAGGTTCGGTACGACTTTTCCGGATTTATAGGGTATCCATAGGCCTGTTAAAATATTCAATTGTTTCAAATCCATGCTGATTTATGTGGCGCTTAACATGCTTTTTTATTAGAAATATCCACTAGTATCTAACTATTACAAATAGAGAACGATTTGGGAATATATTCTGCAGTAAAATGGCACATAAAAAGGGCCCATTAAGTATTGCTTAAGTGCACTTGTCCAAAGATCAGACAAACACACTTGAGTAAGATCGTACTCCATTTCGTTGGTTTTGACCCCGTCCTTATTAGGGCGCCCTATGGGTGCAATACCATGCCATTCGCAAATTTTGTTCCCCATCACTTTAAAAATATTCTATGCTAAAATCAGTTGAAATGGGTTCTGCAGAGAAGCTGAAAACATTCAAATGCCGACGCACAAGGCATGACATATGGGGTATAGGCCTCTTAAGACACAGACGACGGACGAAAACGATCAGTCTTCTTCTTCTTCCCATACGAGTTTACTCTTACTAGAGCGTTGAACTCGGACTGTCACACGCGACGGACAAGGCTAAAAACCCGATCAGGGCACTATGTACAATAAAAAGTTAAAAACTGGCACACTTAGTTGGTGTTGGTGGGCAGCTGGCTCCTTGTGTATGAGTCCAGCTGTGTCCGGAAGGACTCTAATGTTGGTGCTGAGGCAACTACAGATGGTAAGTTATTCCAGTCTAGAATTGTCCTCGGAAAGAAGGAATATCGATGTGCATCGATCCGAGTGTGTGGTAGACGGTACGTGTAGCTGCCTCTGGTCCATCTGTCACTGGGTGTCAGCAGGGGCGTAGTATCCGGGGGGGGGGGGGCAGGGGGGCCTGGCCCCCCCCCACTTTTTCCCAACCATACTTACACTATAGGAAATGTTAATTGAAAGCCTGGTTGGCCCCTCCACTTTTAGAAACGACCGAAAATGTAGTAGAAGAATTGGTACTAAAAGTAGTTGACACTGAGAAAATATTTACTTAACCCCCCCCCCCCCCCCCCCCCCCCCACGAAATAGTATTTTCGACTTCAGGCAACATTTACCTTTTTTTTCTTTTTTTTTTTTTGCTTGTCAACTTTTTCAGGTGAGTAAAAAAATTTTTTTCTCTGCCTGGCCCCCCCCACTTTCAAAAACGATGCTACGCCACTGGTCAGGTACATATCTGCAGGGATAGCCACCAAAGCATGCTCAATCTTGTATAACAAGACGAGTCTTATCTTCATTCTTCTTGTTTGTAATGGTTCCCAGTGTAGATCTTGTAGCATCTGGGTAACACTCCCAGGGTGGTTATCATGGTAGTTTTTGGTGGCAAATCGTGCTGCTCGTCTTTGCACTTTCTCCAGCTGATGGACTTGCTTGGAGTTCCAGGGATCCCATGCTGCACAGGCGTATTCTAGAATCGGTCGTACTAATCCCTGGTATGCTGCGGATCTTGCAGATGTCCGACATCCCCTCATATTCCTCCTGATGAAGCCCAGTGTCTTGTTGGCTTTTGCTGTGATGTTACTGATGTGGTTGTCCCATCGTAGGTCTTTACTAATGGTGACTCCAAGGTCACCAGAGTGACTCAGATGACCTAATAATCATTTATCTGTAAAAAAAAAAAAATAAACGGACATTTTAGCAGACCCACACTAGCTTTTTTCTTTGTATTATTCATGATTTTATGGTCGTAAACCGCGACCGTGTTCAGGGGGTTAGATTGAAAGTCGGGATCGATAAGCAAAAATTCAGATCCAATATGTCTGCGCCCATGTTCTTAACAACGAAGGCAGTGTTTTAGTGAAAAGTTCTTCGATTTTGATATTTATTTAATCCGTGAAGGTTGTTTTTATTTGTTGAAAAGAATGTTTGGTCGACATTTGTATACATTTACCTTAAGATCACATTGTTTTCGGAGATCTTCCATTTTCGTACATCGCTTTTGTTGCACAAAAGTCAACAAGAACTGTAATTCTGTGGCTTCCTTTATAAGTCTTAACCTTCAAAAATGTAAATATTCTGTACCAAGCAAACATGATTTGGAAGGATTAACACGTCATTTTTCTTCGTCGTGTTGGCACTGTTGCAGAAAGAGTGACGAAGATGGTGTCCAGCGTAAAGAGAGTTTTCAGGTGACTTTCTTACGTATCAGTTAAACTGTGTATGCTGAATAATATAATTGATGGATCTAATCAAAAATTGATAATAAAATTTCACAACAAAAAGAAATGTTTTCTATTGAGAGAAGTACCAAATTTATTTCTGATACAGTGTTTTAAGTAGTTCCGGATTGCAATCAGGAAAACGCTTACTGCATTGTTTGCGTAGGACTTAAACTTGATTTCTAAACTGAATCAAATAGTCCTTTACCTACCTTTTCAATCCCTAAAGGCATTTTGTTAAAAATGTTACACTATATTATAAAACTCTCGTACATTAGATATAAGGGAATTCAAGCAGTTTCGAAAATTTCAAGTAGTTCCGGTTATAGCCATTTATCGGGATTATTAAATTGAAATCGTATCAAAATTCATTATAAATGATCAATTTGTAGAGAATTCCCTACAATGAGACCTTAACATGTAATTTATATATGCATTATATCAATAAAAATATAAAAGAGAAAACATGATGTTTAAGCAAATTTATTGAAAATGAAAACATGAATTAATCGCAACATGAAGTGAACTTATGTTTCTATACACTTTCTCAGCCCTTTTGAAATCAATTTAATTATTTACAAATATTTCAATGAAAAATTAAATTATGTTTTTGTCCTTTTTATTTTTTTTTTTAAAATATTGTATGGTGTACAACTCCTTTGAGAAAACATCGTCCGTAGTAAATCCAGAACTACTTAAATTAAGATGTTGTGAAGATTGCTCATTATTTTGGAGATGCTTCGTAGTATCAGGAAACCCAAAATACTAGAGAAAGAAGAAACACCAGTGTCTTATCCACACTTCACCAATTAAAAAGGTACCCTTAAAAAGTTTCAAAAAACACCTACAACTTTAGAAACAGCATGTAATTTTTCTAATCAACGTAAATAAAGCGCTTCTGGTAGTAAACATTAAGCTGTTAACATGGAAAGAGAGACGGACTTTATGATCTTGCTTTATTGTCTAGATTTTAGACAATAAATTCAGCTTCGTTTATACAAAAATTCACAAAAGACAGAATCCATTTTGTGTGTTTAATTTTCATTTTTAAACGAAAATTATCCGGAACTGCTTAAAATCCGAAACTACTTAAAGCACTGTATACTTTAATTAACAGGTTGGGACCAATCGCCCAAATGGGATATAATAGTCCATTTGGGATATAATATCCCAAATGGGCTCTAAATTTACAGTGCAAAAAATGAAAATTTTCATTTTGGCTATAAATATCATAATTCCACACAGGACACTTGAAACGGAATAACTTTTGGTTGACAAGTTTTTCTGCAACCCTATTTGTAAGATTGATCCCAAAGAAGTTATAGAACTTCCGAGGGATCAATCTTCTAAACAATGGGCATACAGAAAAACTTGTCAACCAAAAGTTATTCTGTTTTAAGTGTCCTGATGCGGAATTATGATATTTATAGCCAAAATGAAAATTTTCATTTTTTGCACTGTAAATTTATAGCCCATTTGGGATATTATATCCCAAATGGACTATTATATCCCATTTGGGCGATTGGTACCAACCTGTTTAATAAGAGTTGCCTCCTTTCGAAATTTTAATGAAGTTGAGTTTAGTTAAAATCATCTTAAACTTTAAGATAATTTAAATGTTGTTTGTATTCTAATTTGTAAATGCTTCTATCACACATTTTTTAAAGGGCGAGAGCATTAAGACGATTCCAAACGTAATTACAACATGTAGAATTATTTCTGCGCCATTTCTAGGGTATATGGTTACACATGGTCAGTTTGAAATGGCACTTGGTTTGTTCATCGTGGCAGGCATTACTGATCTGGTGAGTGTTGACTCAGTTTTTAAATATTTATGGAGTAACCTATGGCAGTATAACTCAATGATAAGGAATTCACTGAGACATCAGATTTTATTTCCATAACTGTAGGATTGTTTAATTTATAAATGTAGTGGGAACATAGTATAATGTTTTCCGGGTGACTCATTAAAAATCCTTTTAAAATACAAAGGTTTACTTATAAATGAGTTTTTAATAATTGATTTGCCAAGTTATATTGATCTCATTTTTGAATTTTATGGCTAAATATAGTCAATTTATATGTAAATAGGTAATGCCTTTTAGACTATGAGGCCTATATAAGGACCATCATTATTTAGCTTACAGACATGTACAGAGGGATGTTAAATCCATTTGACAATTATTTTTATTGAAATGTTTGATATTGCATGTTTGTTGTTTTAACAAGTCGGTAATAATATGTGAAGTTCTAGTATATGTAATATGTATTACCTTTCTTCATTAAGCTGGACGGGTACATTGCGAGGAATTTCAAGGGTCAAATGTCCAGTTTTGGGACGTTTCTGGACCCATTAGCTGACAAGGTGATGATGACTGTGATGTTTACTACTCTATCTGTGGCCCATATTGTACCAGGTGCTTAAATATATACTTTATGTTGTTCAATGTACCATACAAACTATTCTGACAGGTATCATACACATAGTGATGCTGGCCAAAGCCGACTTCTTCCGGTTAAGGTCACCACAATATCCACTAGGCAGGTATATGTGTGTACATAGTATTCAGTTTCCCACTCTGTCCAGCATACCTTTCATTTGTCTGTTCTAGAAAAAGTAAGTAGAGCATCAAAGTAATGTATCTTCATTACCTGGTTGAAATTGACCATTCTGTCTACTACTGTAAACTTTTATTTGCATGCAAGAAATATTCGCAAAGTTCGCGAGAGCCTCCTCATCACGAATATTTCTCACTGCGAACCAGTCCTTCAAGCCTCTATGTCTATTTAAAACAAATCAAAAAAGACCTGATCAGGAAAAGTAATCGTCGCAAAGTAGTTTACCCTCGGTAAATCGCGAAATAAAGTCATCGTGAATAAAAATTGGTTTACAGTATTTTACTAGCTCAAAATACCAGAATTTACCTGGTATAGGTATTATACTGGTACTGTAGACATACTTTTTTCCACAGAGTCATAATTCTGTGGAATCTCGATTTCTGTTTAATCTGCGTGTAGAAAATTGCGCAGGATTTTCTAGACTGTCACTATGTGCCTTACGATACATTTATATTAAGTACACTTGGACAAATTTCCACAGAAAATTTGTGAGCGCGTACATAGCGTAAATTAATACCATGCGGAAAAAAGTACTTCTACAGTATTTATCACTTTAGTGCATTCTTACTAATCCACATTTACATGGCCCAAACTTTACCAGGTAAACTGTCATGTATTATACTTCCTATGATATTCTCTATGCTGCATATCCAATGCATATCCAAATGGTGAAGCTGAATTCACTAGAAAATTTATTGGCATTGTATACTCACTATATTACTCAGTAATGGATTGTTCTTTAGTTTCTTTTAATGTGTTTTGTATTGTGGTTAATATATGCAAGGTTGATTTATAATAACAATGTAAATAATTTTTTTTTTAAATCATAGTTGATTTTAGTAGTGATTTGAATTGTAAAATCAGTATCAGAAATTTTCAATAAAGATAGACTAACTTTCCATGTTTCTCTGCTTTTCTAAACAATCTTGGTATTAAAACTAAGTAATGTCCCTTTGTTGACAGTGCCCCTGACTGTTATTGTTGTGGGAAGGGATCTATTCATCATAGCAGCTACTTTTTATATCAGATACATCTCTCTCAATCCTCCAGTAAGTATCTTAAGAATAAAGGGGGGAAATGATAAAATTATATTCAACATTTTCTTTTCAAATCCAATCTTCACATGTATACATGAATGTTCTGTCCTTTGTAGGTAACTTTAAAAAATTTCTTTGATGTTTCAAATGCAAGTGTCTCACTGCACCCTTCAACATTGAGCAAGGTAAGCACATTATGAAGAAAATATGAAAGCAAGTGGATTTTTTCTCCTTCTACAAGTAAAAATAGGTTTGCTAAGTTTTGACAAACGGAAGACATGCTGAATTTAAAGATATTGAATCAATTGTATTTAAAAAAAAATACCAAAAAAAAAATGTTTTAAATAGCTGCAGAAAAGCAGAGAGCTACAGATCCAAGAGTTGTAAAAACCTTTGATTTACGCTGCCGATTTTTTGTCGCTCACTTTGGATATTAGATCTATTTCTTGTAGTTTAAGCTTTATCTGGCTTCTAGAATGATATCATATAGTTAATCTTATATTCAACTCTTATTTTTGATACTTTATTTACCTTTTAATGGTCCGAAACAGTCCTGTATATAGTTTTGTAATGTCGTTTAAAAGAGTCCCATTTCGACGTCTGTAACCACAAAAGGCCTTTTATAAGCATTGGAACACATGTGAAAGGTAAGTAAATTATTAGGAATTGGAGTTAAATGTATGATTAATTATCAAATACTATTTTTTTTTAAGCTGGGAAAGTATAAAATACAAGAAATAATACCCGACGTGAGCGATCAAAAATCGTCTGCGTAAATTAAAGGTTTTTACAATGCTTGGATCTGAAGCTCTGCTTTATCTGTTAGAAATTTTCTCAAGCAGAGAGATACAGTTCTGCAGCTAGGTTTTAAAAAAAATTCTTCTCTAAACTCCTTTAGGGTAAATCACCAAACATTTTGTTTATATTGATGTTTTAGGGGACAACACCCATTGTTTAAGAAGTAAAATGAATATAGTAAAATACTTCAAGCCTATATCAATTGTACTATAGACTGGTGATGTGAAGCCCTGAACCAAGCAATCAGAACAGGAAATAGGCTAGTGTATAAAAGGACACACTATATTTATAATAATAGATCTCAGTACCCATTTTATATATTTTCTTCAAAGGAAAAGATTAATCAAGAGGCCCTTAAGAGTGCATCCCTGATGCATATACATGTACGTTGATATATACATCTACAAACTTGACTAGTTTATAACCATGCATGACTTAAGCTATATGTAGTCTCTGATCTTGTTAACTGATATGATTAGTTAAATGATATGATTGGAGCTTTTAAAAAATATAAGAAATTGAAACTCAATTTCATTTATACATATATTCTTATCTATACAGTAAAACACGCTTCTTGAAGTGCCAGGAATTTTGCTTCATTATACACTGTAAATGTAATTTGTTTATATATCTGTTAAGTAAACAATATATTTGAAAGCCATTGTAGAATGAAAATCACTTCGCTTTAAAGTTTAAACATCATTTCGTTATAACCATGTTGGCTATATGTGTGTTTTACTGTATCAGAGTGTATCCTCTTGCAGGGGAGGCAGACCAAAATCATTGGAAACTTGATTAGATTCAATGTCTTTATATATTTCATAACAGTACAACCATAATTCTGGAATCCACTTTTAGACCTATATTAAATTGGAGATTATACACTTTCATCTTATTCTATCTAGTTCAAGTCTCCTTTTGAGATTCATATCAAATGCACCTCTGTTATTGTACCTTGGTCTGTTACAATACAACATTAGGTCCATACTACCCAGCAAATTTATATTATTATACATGTATCTCTGCAACAGGCAAATACAATAAAGACCAAGAGAAATGAATAGTGTGTTTAAATGTTTAAAATTAAATAGAGAAAATTGTGTCACAATATTTCCTATTAATGTGTATAAGATGTCCAAGGTGAAACCAGATTTGTGTATTTTCAGAAAGATTAAATATTTAGCGTAGGCTCAAATATTTTACGGTTGGTCAGGGAACCGGTAACACACATTTTAAGGCCCATATTGTACCACTGCCTTTTAGTACAGGCATCTGTAGAATATAGCACAACTCACAAGTATTACCAATACATTCTGAACATCTGTTTTTAGGTCACCTGAGTAAACTCAGGTGACCTATTGCTATCCGTTTTTGTCTGTCGTCGTCCGTCGTGTGTCGTGTGTTAACATTTGAACATTTTCAGCTTCTTCTCTGAAACCACTGAACCAATTTCAACCAAATTTGGTATACAGCATCTATGGGTGAAGGGGAACAAAAATTGTGAATTTCATGGTCCCTGCCCCCCTGGGGCCTGAGGGGTGGGGCCAAAACCACTAAAATTATTGCAATCTTTAAAAATCTTCTTCTTTACTCCTGGACATCAAGCAGGCAAACTGTTGGCATGAATGTAATGAGCATTGAGTCCTCTACCAAAATTGTGAAATTCATGGCCCCAGGGTCAGGGGTTCTAGTGCTAGGGCGGGGCTCTATTGATTATATAGTGAAAATGCATTTATTCTTTGAAAATCTTCTTTTCTGCTTCTGAGTATAAAATAAACTAACTACATACATAGTTATGATGAGCAAAAGTGCATTTTCCAGATTTGTGAATTTTATGGCCCCAGGGTCAGAGGTTCTGGTGCTAGGGCGGGGCTCTTTTTATTATACCCCCCGCAAACGAAGTTTGGGGGGGTATATAGGAATCACCTTGTCCGTCTGTCTGTCTGTCCGTCCGTCTGTCTGTCTGTCAGTCCGTCTGTCTGTCTGTCCGTCCGTCCGTCTGTCCGTCTGTCTGTGCATTCGTGTCCGGTCCATATCTTTCTTACAGAGGGACATTAGAATCTACTACTCCACAATAAGATTGCTCATGACCTAAGGGTGTGTCATGACCTTGACCCAAGGTCATTTGGGAAAGTTCAAGGTCACTGGAAGAAAAATTTCATAATTCGTGTCCGGTCCATATCTTTCATATGGATAAACTTGGTAGGTTCTCATTTCACACAAAGATTGCCCATGACCCAAGGGTGTGTCATGACCTTGAACCAAGGTCATTTTGGGAAAGTTCAAGGTCACTGGAAGAAAATTTTCATAAATCATGTTTGATACATATCTTTTATAGATAAACTTGGTAGGTTCTCATTTCACACAATGATTGCCTATGACCCAAGGGTGTGTCATGACCTTCACCCAAGGTCATTTAGGAATGTTCAAGGTCACTGGAAGAAAATTTTTTATATTCCCTGTCCGGTCCATATTTTTTTTATGGATAAACTTGGTAGGTTCTCATTTCACACAAAGATTGCCCATGACCCAAGGTGTGTCATGACCTTGACCCAAGGTCATTCGGGGAAGTTCAAGGTCACTGGTAGAAAAATTTCATAATTTGTGTTCAGTCCATATCTTTCTTATGCATAAACTTGGTAGGTTCTCATTTCACACAAAGATTGCCCATGACCCAAGGGTGTGTCATGACCTTGACCAAAGGTTATTTGGGGAAGTTCAAGGTCACTGGAATAAAAATTTCATAATTTGTTTTTGATACATATCTTTATTATTGAAAAACTTACTTCTGAAAAACCCAGCGGGGGGTATTTTGTCCCGTTTGGACAGTTCTAGTTATATAGTGAAAATGCATTTATTCTTTGAAAATCTTCTTCTCTGCTTCTGGGTATTAAATAAACTTACTAAGTACATAGTTATGATGAGAAAGAGTGCCTCTACCAAAATAGAGAAATTTATGGCCCTGGGGTCAGGGGTTCTGGTGTTAGGGCGGGGCTCTATTGATTATATAGTGAAAATGCATTTATTCTTTGAAAATCTTCTTCTCTGCTTCTGGGTATTTAATAAACTTACTAAGTACATTGTTATGATGAGAAAGAGTGCCTCTACCAAAATAGAGAATTTTATGGCCCTGGGGTCAGGGGTTCTGGTGTTAGGGCGGGGCTCTATTGATTATATAGTGAAAATGCATTTATTCTTTGAAAATCTTCTTCTCTGCTTCTGGGTATTAAATAAACTTACTAAGCACATAGTTATGATGAGCAAGAGTGCCTTTTCCAAAATTTTGAATTTTATGGCCCCAGGGTCACGGGTTCTGGTGTTAGGGCGGGGCTCTGTTGATTATATAGTGAAAATGCATTTATTCTTTGAAAATCTTCTTCTTTGCTTCTGAGTATTAAATAAACTAACTAAGTACATACTTATGATAAGCAAGAGTGCCTTTTCTAAAATTGTGAATTTTATGGCCCCAGGGTCAGGGGTTCTGGTGTTAGGGTGGGGCTCTATTGATTATATAGTGAAAATGCATTTCTTCTTTGAAAATCTTCTTCTCTGCTTCTGGGTATTAAATAAACTAACTAAGTACATCATTATAATGAGCAAAAGTGTCTCTTCCAAAATAGAGAATTTTATGGCCCCAGGGTCAGGGTTCTAGTGTTAGGGCTGGGCTCTACTGATCATATAGTGAAAATGCATTAATTCTTTGAAAATCTTCTTCTCTGCTTCTGGGTATCAAATAAACTAACTAAGCACATTGTTATGATGAGCAAGAGTGCCTCCTATAAAATTGTGAATTTTATGGCCCCAGGGTTAGGGGTTTTGGTGTTAGGGCGGGGCTCTGTTAATTATAGAGTAAAAATACATTAATTCTTTGAAAATATTTTCCTTTGCTTCTGGGTTTTATGCTAGTGATCCAAGTATATATATTTATGATGAAGAAAGGCACATCTAGCAAAGTGGTTTTTTATCCCCCCTGGGTCAGAGGAGGGGGGGGTACATAGTCTGAAATAAATTAATGCTTTGAAATCTGCTCTTTGGTATTAATCAACCATTTTATGATAAAATTTGCAAAAGTTTGAAATATGTGTCCCCTGGGTCAGTGGTTCCTTTGGAGTGAGGTGCACAACTGGTTATAAAGTGGAAGTGCATTTTCTCTTTGTCACTCTGATCTACCTCTGGGTATTAAGTAAATAGAGTAAGCATGCTAAGTTAATAATTATGATAAGCAATGGTGCCTCTTTCAAAATTGTGAATTTCATGGCCTCTGGTTTAAAACACGAACCAAATTTAATTGTTTGAAAGTTGTTACACAATACTCAGGTGACCTATAAGGCCCGTGGGCCTCTTGTATACAGTAATACTCTAAAAACAGTTTGTGCATCTCTTACTGTAAAAACTTACACTACATGATGGCAGCATTCCATTTTTAGGTCACCTGAGTAACTCAGGTGACCTATTGCTATCCGTTTTCGTCCGTCGTCGTGCGTCGTACGTCGTGTGTTAACATTTGAACATTTTCAGCTTCTTCTCTGAAACCACTGAACCAATTTCAACCAAATTTGGTATACAGCATCTATGGCTGAAGGGGAACAAAAATTTTGAATTTTACGGTCCCCGCCCCCCTGGGGCCTGAGGGGTGGGGCCAAAACCACCAAAATTATTGCAATCTTTAAAAATCTTCTTTACTCCTGGACATCAAGCAGTCAAACTGTTGGCATGAATGTAATGAGCATTGAGTCCTCTACCAAAATTTTGAAATTCATGGCCCCAGGGTCAGGGGTTCTTGTGCTAGGGCTGGCCTTATAGATTATATAGTGAAAATGCATTATTTCTTTGAAAATCTTCTTCTCTGCTCTTGGGTATTTAGTAAACTAACTAAGTACATAGTTATGTTAAGCAAGAGTGCCTCTTCCAAAATTGTGAATTTTATGGCCCCAGGGTCAGGGGTTCTGGTGTTAGGGCGGGGCTCTATTGATCATATGGTGAAAATGCATTTATTCTTTGAAAATCTTCTTCTCTGCTTCTGGGTATTAAATAAACTAACTAAGCACATAGTTATGACAAGCAAGAGTGCTACTTCCAAAATTGTGAATTTTATGGCCCCAGGGTCAGGGGTTCTGGTGTTAGGGCGGGGCTCTATTGATCATATAGTGAAAATGCATTAATTCTTTGAAAATCTTCTTCTCTGCTTCTGGGTATTAAATAAACTAAGTAAGTATATAGTTATGATGAGCAAGAGTGCCACTTCCAAAATTGTGAATATTATGGCCCCAGGGTCAGGGGTTCTGGTGTTAGGGCGAGGCTCTATTGATCATATGGTGAAAATGCATTAATTCTTTGAAAATCTTCTTCTCTGCTTCTGGGCATAAAATAAACTAACTTAGCACATAGTTATGATGAGCAAGAGTGCCTCTTTCAAAATTGTGAATTTTATGGCCCCAGGGTCAGGGTTTCTGGTGTTAGGGCGGGGCTCTATTGATTATATAGTGAAAATGCATTAATTCTTTGAAAATCTATTCCTTTGCTCCTGGGTTTTATGCCAATGACCCAAGTATATATATATATATTTGTGATGAAGAAAGGTGCATCTAGCAAAAAGGTTATTTTTTATGCCCCTTGTGTAGGGTGGGGTGGTAACATAGTCTGAAAATAAATTAATGCTTTGAAATCTGCTCTTTAGTATTAATCAACCATTTTATGATAAAATTTGCAAAATTTTGAAAGATGTTGCCCCAGGGTCAGTGGTTCCTTTGGGGTGAGGTGTAGCTGCAGAACTGTAGCTCTCCGAAAAATTATTTTGACAGACGGGAGAGCTACAGTGCCACCCATTGAAAAAACTGTATATTTATTGCGCACAAATAGTTGCGCTTGGTTATGGATTAATTCTTCCAAATTTTTACCTCAATTGCATAAAATTTGGATTTCGACAAATTTTGTAATTCTCAATCAAGTACTTTTGTAGTTGACATCTACACATGGCGCAATTATCTTGCAAACCAAAATGGCAGTATTAATAGACGAAATTTTCGATGATCTCGTGTTCAGGGCCAGGAGGGCTATTAACAACAATTATATGGAATGTTTTGTTGTGGAAACAGTGAAAAAATATGTTAGGAACACACGGTTAGTAATATTTTGAGATGATAGATTTAAAAACATTGAGAAATAAATCGATAAACAGCGCACTTTTTTGTGCGCAATAAATATACAGTTTTTTCAATGGGTGGCACTGTAGCTCTCCGGTCTGTCAAAATATTTTTTCGGAGAGCTACAGTTCTGCAGCTAGGGTGAGGTGCCAACTGGTCATAAAGTGGAAGTGCATTTTCTCTTTGTTACTCTGATCTACCTCTGTGTATTAAGTAAATAGAGTAAGCATGCTAAGTTAATACATGTAATTATGATAAGCAATGGTGCCTCTTTCAAAATTGTGAATTGTGAATTTCATGGCCTCTGGGGTAAAACATGAACCAATTTTAATTATTTGAAGGTTGTTACACGATACTCAGGTGACCTGTAAGGCCCATGGGCCTCTTGTTACAAATACATGTGGTTGGTTCTAGTTCTACTGTCTGACGCAGTACAATATAAACCTCTACCTCAAAGTTTTCAACACATTATACTGTTTTCAACAGAAAAGAAAACAAAATCTTCAGTGAAAATAATTTATACATGATGTATTGATAGCGACAGTGCAACACAACACCCTAGGTCACACTGATAGGCACAATGTCTCTGTCTTTCAATGCATAATAAAAAACTTTCTACTTGGTACTGATATGTTTTAGTACACTCTGTAGCTGACACTGATATTTTATTCTCTGTTACAGTACAGTACACTCTCTAGTTGACAATGATATTTTATTCTCTGTTACAGTACAGTACACTCTCTAGTTGACAATGATATTTTATTCTCTGTTACAGTACAGACATGTTTTAGTATACTCTCTAGCTGACACTGATATTTAATTCTCTGTTACAGTACAACACATTTCTCCAGATAGTTGTGGTTGTCTCTGCTCTGACAGCTCAGGTGATGGGATGGCCAAATCCTGAAGCACTACAAGCTCTATAGTAAGTCTACTAAAATTTTATCCATTTTTTGTTAATTTTAAAAGCTGCTGTAAAATTAAAATTGTTTAAGAAAAGCAGTCCTACATTTGCCCATCATACGTTTTCACATAATGTAACACATACACTGGTTAAAATTCTACAAAGTGAAAACTAATTTCACAGTTATTAAATGTATATATTTAGATATTGAGAGATAATAGCGCACTTATTTATAATGCATACAAATGAATACAAAAGTATTTGATTGACCGATTGTTTTAGCTCACCTGAGCTGAAAGCTCAACTGATCTTTTCTGATCACCTGTTCTCAGTCTGTCTAGCTGTCCACCCAGCTGTGTGTAAACTTTTCACATTTTCATTCTCTTCTCAAGAACAACTGGGTCTAATTTTTACCAAAGTTGGAACAACGCATTCTTGGGTGAAGGATAGTTTAAATTGTTAAAATGAAGGGCCAAGCCCCCTTCCAAGTGGAGATATTCTAGAGAGGACAAAACTTGGGTCATTAAAAAATCTTCTCAAGAACCACTCAACCAGGAAAGCTGAAACTTATGTGAAAGCATCTTGGTGTAGTGGCAGATTCTAAATTGTTACAACCATGGCCCCCCAGGGATAGGGTGGGGGCCACAATAAGGAAGCCTAGTTTTTCTTTGAAACATATAGGAATTTTTTAAAGAATCTTCTCAAGAACCATGTCGCCCGCATAGTGCAGTGGTTAGTGCGTCTGCTCTAGAGTCGTGAAGTAAGAAATTGATCCTTACGTCGTGGGTTCGAATCCCACTGTGGGACGTCTAGACTGGTCCTTCTGATGAGACCATATAAACCGAAGTCCCATGTTGCAGTAGGTGCTGGCTCAAAAAAAATCCCTCCCTGCTCAATGGCCCTGAGTGCAGAGCATAGGACAAAATTTTCCGCTCTCCACGGGCAAGTGGTGGCGTCTTCATATGAGTGAAAATTTCTCAAGAGGGATGTTAAACAATATCAATAACCAATCTCAAGAACCACTAGGTCAGAAACGCTGAGACTTATGTTGAAGCATCCTAGGGTAGTGTAAATTTTAAATTGTTCAAATCATGACCTGGAGGAGGGGGGGGGGGGGGCACAATAGATATTACATGGCAGAAAGCCAGATGAAGAACAGCAGGGCCAAAGTTACTCAGGTGAGCACTGTGGCCTATGGGTTTCTTGTTATTTATCTGTCCATGTTGTTCAAAATATAGATGGGGGTAAATCAAATTCCATCACGGTTATTCAGAGAATCTGTGTCCCCAACTGAAAGAGTAAAGAAGAGCTTGCACAGCTTTAGAGGGGGGAGGGTCAAAGGGGAGGACACTTTTTAGAAGCAGGGCCATAGGGAGTTAAGGTATAAATTTTTATTGCAAAAGCTCAGAAGCCTCTTGAAATTTCTCCCAGAAATGAAAATTTTACACACACAGAATGTATAAATTATGAGCTTTATGACCTTGAACTTAGACCATCTGATCTAAAAATCAATAGGGTTTTCTTTAGGTCATAGGGAGTTGTTATGTAAAAGTTCATTGCAAAAGCTCCAAGGCTTCTTGAGATATTGTGTGGAAATGAAAGTGTTACAGACAGACAGACAGACAGATCCAGATTGATATCTCTCAAACTAAAGTGAAATGTGGGGGGGGGGGAATAATGTTTTAAACTTAGGTAGATAAAAATACTCAGATTTACCAGTATAATAAGAATGGAGTATACTCTTTATGTTTAGCCTCTATTTACAGTCTACAGTAAAACTCTTTTAGTACGAACACGGATATAGCGAATTCACGGATATAGCGAAGTTTTTCTGAGTCCCCGGCAAAATTCTAAACAAATTTTTGTAAAATTTTACGGTTATATCGAACTCGGATATAACGAATTTACGGATATATCGAACTGATTTTGAGTCCTGTCGAGGTTAAATATAATGATATTTTCATCTTTTATAACGAACTTTCAAAGATCTCAAAATTTGATAAATGGAACTGACTTTGTTTTCTTTAAGCATTTGTATATAAAATTCAAATCCAAATAAAACCTTAGTTACCAAAAGCATTTTTTTGAAATATTTGCTTCCTTAACATATTTGGTAGTAATACTAGAACGAAAACATGCATATTGCGAATTCTCTATATATGGTTCTAAGAATTCGTTATACGGATATAACGAATTACGGATATAGCGAATTAAATTCACAGGCCCCCAGGACTTCGCTATAACCGAGTTTTACTGCATATATTGTCAATTTAAGTTTCATATCATAGAATATTATACTTGTACCATTACATTGAATTATTCAACTTCTTGCTTATACAAAACATGAATTTAAGCATTCTTTTGTTATACATGTATATATTTATTAAATGAAATTGTCAATTTCAAGAGAAATAGTAAATTGTTGAAGTAGACAAATTTTAACTCATTTAACAACTTTTAATTTTTTTCTGTTTCAGTGTCATTACAGGATGCACTACTATAGGAACAGGTCTGCAGTATGTGTGGAATTCAAAAGCATATTTTAAATTAAAAAAGAAAAATTAGTGTTGTGTTTGTTTTCAATACTTCAATGTGATCCAATTCCAGGTGAGGATTTGCTGATGACAATGACATCAAAGTCTAGGACTGCAGAATCATTTAAATTAGCAGGAGTCAATGTTCATGATCAACCACAATTTTAATGGTTCTCGGGGCCTTCATTAGTAGCTAGCTCGTTAGCAACCAAAGCCTCAAGGGCCTTAATGGTCAGTCACCTGAGTATAATACTATACTATAAGATCCACAGAAGTATACAATAAAAATAATCTAAAAGATGAAGATTTGTTGCCAGAAGCAAAAGATATAGGATGATGTAGAATCACCTAAAATTAATATAGTACAAAGTATATTCTATGAGGTGCTGTTTTGGTATTTATGGCCATTAAGTGACATCACTTGTATATTTGAATAGGTAAAATCATTTGCTGAAATATAGAAAGGAGAGCTATCAAACTTTCAACATTTTTTTACCTTGATCTTTGAGCATTTTGGGTTTCCCACAGCAAAACATGGACACTGCCATTCTTTCTATAACATAGAAGGGTATCCATCTCTTATCGGCAACTCCATGATACTTTCTCAGATTCTGTATTACATATAGTGCCATTGTGCACCTCCTATTTCTTGCGTTAACATTTGAAGATTTTTAGCTTCTTCTCTGAAACCACTGAACCAATTTCAACCAAATTTGGCATATAGCATCTATGGGTGAAGGGGAACAAAAATTGTGAATTTCATGGTCCCTGCCCCCCTGGGGCCTTGGGGTGGGGCCAAAACCACTAAAATTAGTGCAATCTTTAAAAATCTTCTTCTTTACTCCGGGACATCAAGCAGTCAAACTGTTGGTATGATTGTAATCAGCATTGAGTCCTCTACCAAAATTGTGAAATTCATGGTCCCAAGAACAGGGGTTCTAGTGCTAGGGCGGGGCTAAACAGGTTATATAGTGAAAATGGATTATTACTTTGAAAATCTTCTTCTCTGCTCCTGGGCATTAAATAAGCTAACTAAGTACATAGTTATGTTGAATAAGATTACCTCTTCCAAAATTATGAATTTCATGGCCCCAGGGTCAGGGATTCTGGTGTTAGGGCGGGGCTCTATTGATTATATAGTGAAAATGCATAAATTCTTTAAAAATCTTCTTCTCTGCACTTGGATATTTAACCACAGAACTTTGTACATAGTTATGATAAGGAAGGATGCTTCTTCCCAATTTGTGAATTTCATGGCCCCTGGGTCAGGGGTTCTGGTGTTAGGGCAGGGTTCCATTGGTTACATAGTCTGAAAATAAAGTAATACTTTGAAATCCGTTCTTTGATATTAATCACCCATTTCTGATGAAATGAAATTTATGAAATTTCTAAAATTTTAAAATATGTGGCCCCAGGGTCAGTGGTTACTTTGGGTTGGTGTGCACAACTAGTGGTTATAAAGTGGAAATGCATTTTCTCTCTGTTACTCTGAACTCCCTTTGGGTATTAAGTAACCAAATTAAGCATGCTAAATGTATAGTTATGATAAACAATGGTGCTTCTTTCAAAATTGTGAATTTCAAGGCATTTGGTTTAAAATAGTCAAACCAAATTCAGTTGTTGGAAAGTTGTTACATGTTACTCAGGTGACCTATAAGGCCCGTGGGCCTCTTGTTTTTTATCTGACAGTTATTTAAGTCTCCAAGAACAAAACATGGACTTTGCCATGATAGTGGTATGGGAAGTAGGGGTATCATTTAGTGAGCTGAGTGCTAATAGTAACTCTATAGTTTAGTGAAACAAATAATTCTGCCAAGATAATTTAAAGTACGTGTACTTTTAATAATCCAATGCTGAAAACAATTTGTAAGCTATATAAATGGTACGATATGGTAAATTTTGATTTACTATTCTGAAAATACAGTAATAAAAAATTTGTTTGGTAGAAACAAAATATGACGTACTTGAATAGTATTCACAAACGAGCACAAAACAGATTCTTACCCTATACAAGTAATATAAAATTCTCAATCATATGAAATAGTGTTGATGACAGTAATTTTGTGAATTTTGTTAAAAATGTAAATAAGATATCAAAATGTGGGATGAAAAGCAAAACAAAATTGGAGCTGATGATAAGGGAATATTAACAACAGGCCTATAACTCGCATGCTCACCAGAGACATCATAGTCTACGGTCTTTATTAGATTTTAATTTTTTTAACTGAATTATAAAAAAAATTATTGACAGCATTCAAATTTAAACCAGCAATGCTTACAAATCCTCCATGAGTGTATAAGTCATCTTTGAGCTCATGTGGCCCCATCCTATACCCTAGGTTGAGATTTAAACAAATTTCATTATCTGAGGACACTTGCTTATATTATAAATCATGGTCATAATCCTCTTTAAAAAATTTTTTTCATATATGTATGCCTATGTAAATTCTCCATTCCCTATAGCGTGACATCTTAACCTATGGGCACTGTTTTAACTAAACTTGAATCTGAACTACTAAAAGATGCTTGCATATTAATATCACTGATCATTATCATGCATACTATGTACTTTTTAGCTCACCTGAGCCGAAGGCTCAAGTGAGCTTTTCTGATCACATTTTGTCCGTCGTCCGTCCGTCCGTCTAGCTGTCCGTCTGTCCGTCTGTCTGTCTGTCCGTCTGTAAACTTTTCACATTTTCGACTTCTTCTCAAGAACCACTGGGCCAATTTTGATCAAACTTGGTACAAAGCATCCTTAGGTGAAGGGGAATTTAAATTGTTAAAATGAAGGGACATATCCCCTCGCAAGGGGAGATAATCAAGAAAAGACAAAAATAGGGTTGGGTCATTAAAAAATCTTCTTCTCAAGAACCACTGGGCCAGTAAAGCTGAAACTTATGTGGAAGCATCCTGGTATAATGTAGATTCTAAATTGTTCAAATCATGACCCCCGGGGGAAGGGCGGGGCCACAATGGGGAATCAAAGTTTTATATAGAAAAATATAGGAAAAATCTTTGAAAATCTTCTTCTCAAGAACCACTGGGCCAGAAAAGCTGAAACTTATGTGGAAGCATCCTGGTATAGTGTAAATTTCTAAATTGTTCAAATAATGACCCCTGGGGGAAGGGCGGGGCCACAATGGGGAATCAAAGTTTTATATAGAAATATATAGGAAAAATCTTTGAAAATCTTCTTCTCAAGAACCAGTGGGCCAGAAAAGCTGAAACTTATGTGGAAGCATCCTGGTATAATGTAGATTAAAATTGTTCAAATAATGACCCCCGGGGGAAAGGGTGGGGCCACAATGGGTTAAAAATGTAAATAAGAATCAAAGTTTTATATAGAAATATATAGGAAAAATCTTTGAAAATCTTCTTCTCAAGAACCACTGGGCCAGAAAAGCTGAAACTTATGTGGAAGCATCCTTGTATAATGTAGATTCTAAATTGTTCAAATAATGACCCCCGGGGGAAGGGCGGGGCCACAATGGGGAATCAAAGTTTTATATAGAAATATATAGGAAAAATCTTTGAAAATCTTCTTCTCAAGAACCAGTGGGCCAGAAAAGCTGAAACTTATGTGGAAGCATCCTGGTATAATGTAGATTCAAAATTGTTCACATCATGACCCCCGGGGGAAGGGCGGGGCCACAATGGGGAATCAAAGTTTTACATAGAAATATATAGGAAAAATCTTTGAAAATCTTCTTCTCAAGAACCAGTGGGCCAGAAAAGCTGAAACTTATGTGGAAGCATCCTGGTATAATGTAGATTCTAAATTGTTCAAATTATGACCTCTGGGGGAAGGGCGGGGCCACAATGGGGAATCAAAGTTTTATATAGAAATATATAGGAAAAATCTTTGAAAATCTTCTTCTCAAGAACCAGTGGGCCAGAAAAGCTGAAACTTATGTGGAAGCATCCTGGTATAGTGTAGATTCTAAATTGTTCAAATAATGACCCCCGGGGGAAGGGCGGGGCCACAATGGGGAATCAAAGTTTTATATAGAAATATATAGGAAAAATCTTTGAAAATCTTCTTCTCAGGAACCACTGTGCCAAAAAAGCTGAAACATATGTGCCCATGGAAGGATCATGGGGTAGTGTAGATTTCAAAATGTCTAAATTATGATCAGTGGGGTAGGGTGGGGATGCATTATGTATAACAAGGGGGAAATCTGGTAAAGAACAGAATGGTTAAAGCTTCTCAGGTGAGCGATGTGGCCCATGGGCCTCTTGTTCCTGTATATTCCTGTCAATTTGACATCAATACCTATCCAATGATCATAATTTGAAGAATCTTTAACTATACAATTTGTCAAGAAGCTTTCACTGAAGTTTCATATTTTTCTACAGCCGTTTTTGAAGATTTTGAAATGATTCCACCCTATTTTTGCCTTTTTATAATTTAACTCTCCTTAGAATTGTCCATAGAAAATAATTTATCAAAAATTCAATCCCTTTTTCTTAATGATAATCCCTGCCAAGTTTGGTTGAAATTTGCATGTTTTTCTTGAGAAGATGATAATGTTATAATAAAGTGACACCAACAAGGATAGACAACAGATAAATTTTTATCAGAAAAGCTACTTAATTCACCTTCGGCTCGACAGGTGAGCTAAAAATACAATAAAATTAAATAAGTCCATTGCCTTGATCTTTGTCCTCCATGCTGAATATATACAGTATAAGCAGAAATTTTAGCAAGGAATCAATTTTTGCATTACATGTATTAGTAAGGATTTTGATATAATTGTTAAAATTAAATATTGCTAATAATTCCTATCGCATTGGAACTTACAATGAACCACTGTATTTCTAAATTTCATAAAATCACAAAAATTATGAATCATTATTTCAGGACAAATAATTAAATTTGGGTCTTGCTAATATTTCCACTTGTAAAGTAGTGTGGGCCATTATCAGTCTTTCTTCCTCATAATTGAAAGCAAAATCATTACTTGGATTCCTAATTACCAGTGGATAGAGGTTAAACAGACAGGCTCACTCAATACATTTACTACTGGTAAAGTGGAGATTCAGATAAATTTAAAAAAATCTTAATGATTAATTGTAATGAAATAAGGTGCTGTACACCATGCATGCAAACATCAAAAATCAGGAAAGTATGATAAAACTATCAGAAAGAACCCTCAAAATTTAATAACAGTAGCAATAATAAATTTATATCTACATGGTGTATTTGGGGAGGGAATTGATTTTTCATTCTAGAAAAAAATAAATAAATATCGGTATGTACAAAGAAAAACTCTGCATTGCATTTACACTTAACATACACATTAAGCAATTTTCTTAATAAATATTCTAGTAATTCACTTCATGTTAAGAAACTATGTACACAGGTATATTAAAAAGAGCACTGGTAAAATAAAACACAGGGTTTTTTTTCTTTTAGACCTAAAGGAATCTCTACATTTTAAAGAACTCTTCAGAAATGAAATATTTCAAGGTCAGATTGTCCTTCAGGTCCTGTGGAATGTCAAGTGAATTAACACAAGGAATGACATTCCTCCTAAATCTTCTTCTAAAAAAGTTCCGACAGATGGCCAAAAGGCTTGGAGGTGAGGTGGCAAAATTATTCAAAAACATTTGTTGTTGTCTGTGGAGGATAGGACTGTCAGCGGGGAATTCCCGGGCTGTGATCCAGCTCTCCCGGTAGATATTGTACCCGGCCAGAGTTAGAGTCATCAGAACGTCAATACTGGTCTGGTGAGCCGCCACATATATCACAGAGCGGGGTTCTGGGTAAATCAAGGTAGCCACATCAGACTGGGCATGCTGATCTATTCCACAGGAGACCACCTCAAGCTCCACATTCTTAACAATTAAATACTTGATTGTACTCAGATCATTTTTATACACCGCGTTCCACAGAGGCGTGGTATTATGCTTGTTCTTACAATCTGGGTTGGCACCAGCATTGACTAATTTGGTGACCATTTCCAGATTTTTGTTAAAAGAAGCATAAAGAAGTGGGGTATCATCGTCCTTGTCTGCATTGTTGACATTACAGCCCAGAGGGAGCAACATATCGATCACAGCAGTATGGTTTCCATGGGCAGCCAGTGACAGAGGGGTGTTCCCATCTTCTGTGCGTGTATCGTGACTCATTCCTGAGTCTAGAAGCAGCTGCACAATGTTGCAGTATCCATTCCAAGCAGCCACATGTAGGGCAGTATAGCCTTGTACATTTTTAGATGTCACATTTGCTCCATGTTTAACCAGCTTCTGAGTGATATCATATGCACCTGTAATACTGGCAAAAACAATGGGTGGAGTGCCATCACTTGACATGACGTCAGGGTCAGCTCCATTCTCAAGCAAGTATGACACCATTTCTGTGTTTTCTGAAATGAAAAGTATACCAATTTTTTTCAAGCTATAGCACAAAGTGAGCTCTGCACTCTAAATGAACTTGATAAGAGTTTTCCATGACACTACAATATGATTTAAACAAACACTTACCCAGGTGTAGGGCAAATGATAAGGCAGACTGATCCCTGTGGTTTATAATGTTAACTTTAGCCCCTTTTTCTATCAGTGGCTTGACATACTCCATACCACGGACCACCCCCATCATCAGAGCAGTGTTGCCTTTTCTGTCCTGGATATTGCAGTCCGCCCCTGCTTCAAGCAGAGCAAGAAATGCCTCGTGTAAGTGGTACTTGGCAGCAAGAATAAGAGGGGACTCATCCTTTGCATTTTTCTGGTTTATGTTAATAGTCTTGGCTTTTAATAGCTTTTTTACAACATCCACATAACGTAACTGTATGGCCTCATGCATTGGACTGGTATTGTCTATAAGAAATGGAACGTTAACATCCAGTCTTAAACCAATCAGGTAGTCTATGACACCTAATTGTCGAGACCGCACTGCATAGGAAAGAGGTGTTCTCTGACATTGTTCTGTTGTAGCATTCATGTTGCAGCCATATTTGTTCAACAATGAGAGAATTTTTGTGTGTCCAAACCCTGCAGCAGCATGGACCAATCGTAGGGAGGAAAAGTGATTTTTGAAGTGGCTTGGATTTTCTGCTCCACAGGAGCAACTTCCTCGTGTTATGAAGTCCAACACAGTATCTAAACCTTCCTCCAAAGCATTCCCGTGATTTAATGGGTGGCTCTCAAAGAAGTTTCGTCCACAATTACAGGTAAAATTGGAACCTGAAAAATCAATTTAGTATACCTCGGGTAAATGAACATTATCATAGTAACTTGAGAACATCAATTTCAATACATGTAACAATGCCAACAATAGCTATTCACTTAATAATATGTTTATTATAGAATGTAAATATGTTTGTGTTCATGTCAATCATGCGCTCAAACCAAAATGTTTTATAATGAGTATTATCCTACATACTTCTCTATGTAAACATGTCCTATTTTTACAAAAAATATTATTTGACCACTTTTATTAAACGGTTGAATGACTGAAGTTGAATACATACAAACAATAATGTCCGTGTCGAGGATTCCTTTGTATTTCTGAAACAGTAGTTCAATGTCATCATCCCCGCGAACCACTCGCTCATACAGGTGCGCCTGGGCACGCCTCATTTCTGTAGTTAATTCATATCTTGATTAATGCTACATGTAGAACTACATGATTGTATAATATATTAATTGTGCTACCCTGCCACTTGCATTGTATCTCATAATCTAATGTAGCTGCAGAACTGTAGCTCTCCGAAAAAACAAATTACTATAGTATATTGACAGACCAAAGAACTACAGTGCCACTTATTGCAAAACGTGTATATGTAATACTGCGCACAAAAAATTATGATGTTCCTCAATTTATTCCTCCATGTTTATTACTCAGTGTCATCTCAAAATATTATTTACCATGTGTTCCTAACTTATTGGTTTACTATTTTCAAATCATCCTTATAATTATTGTTAATACCCACCCGCCTGAAATTGAAAATTTTGCCTTATTACTTGTCACTGCCATTTTGGGTCCAAAGCTGTAGTAGGAAATGAGATCAAAATGCACAAAGAAAACATATGGCTGGACAGGAAATTGAACCCGGGACCCCTGCATCAGTAGTCAGGTACTGACTGACTACTGAGCTATTCAGGCCAATATTCATGGTCCGTAAAGCCCGAAATTCTACATTCCTCCCTCTTTAAACAGTGTTAGACCTGGAAGACACAAGTTCCAGAGCCCTGCCAGGAATTACTAATTTACACATACTATAAACCAACTTTTACATGTATTCACAACAACTTAATTTGCAATTCACCAGGGGTAAAGTAGTTGGCGACTATTAATTTTCGTGATCAGGTCTTTTTCGATCTGTTGTAAATTAATTGACAAAAAGGCGGAAATATTCGCTATGACGACACTGTAGCGAACTTCACAAAAATTTCTCACAAGTAAATAAAAGTTGGTTAACAGTACACTATAACCTGAACAAGCCCCCCCCCCCCCCACTGGCCACCAAAATTAGTAGGAAGAGCAATGCACAAAGAAAACATATGGCTGGAACGGGAATTGAATCTGGGACCCCTGCATTACTAGTCAGGTGCTCTGACCACTGAGCTATCCAGGCTGATAACCACATTCAGTAAAGCCAAAAATTCTACATTCAAGCTAATTCTTCCAAAATATAACAAATATGAGAGAATTAACTGATAGATAAAGAAAAAAATTGAAATCAAGATTTTACACCGTTAAGAATTTTGAAAATTTATTCAAAATGTAGCTCAATTTTTTGTGCACAATAAACACAGAATTTTTTTCTACGGGTAGCACATTGTGGGTTTTTTTTTCAGATCAGCGGGCTACTAACAGCTAGACTGACAGATCTTCAGTTAAAACTGATGCTTAGAAAAAACAATTTTTAAGTTTCATTTTCGCATTTAAAAAATTGAGGACTGATAAAATAGAAATGCATTTTTCATTACAAAATAATTTTCTGGGTTTTACCTAAATCATTCATTTTTTTAGGAAATTTGATTTTGACAGCAGGAACTCGATTGGGGAAGCTGGAAGCCAGTGGAAGGTGATCAGTTGAGTTCGCCTCAATTTACGTCAATAGCTGTTGGCATCTACAATGGAAACGGTCCAGTTGTAAAAAATGAAGTATCTGATATGTAGCTTGAAAAAATTAATCGGTACTTAAACTTCAAACATCAGTTTAGTAATGTTTACACTGTCACTGTCACTTTCTCGTCGCGACTCGAGACTCTTACTAATTTACCTCTCTTAACTGGAGAGTTTTCGAATAATAACAGAGTTATCGTTCTTAGTCTCAGTCTCTCTCTCTCTCTCTCTCTCATCAGCGAATTGTTCCAGTATATTTTATATTCATAAACTAAATATATTTACTGGGAATCACAACCGTGTTATTAAATGACCAAGAAAAACTACATTCTTCCTTCTTGAACAACGTACTTGTATAAAAGCTCTAAATAATTATATTCAATATTGAAATTTTATTTATCAAGCCCCTCAGTGGAAGAGGTGATGGTGGGGTGATTGTGGGGAATAATATAAGCAGCAGTAGACTCATTTACAGTAGAAAAAGAAAATTATTGCGATGTACCGTTGTGTGCCAAAGTAAAGATATGCACCTTTGAATTACAATATTTTTAGAATATCAGTGCGGATCATAGAAAACTATTGTTTTTATAAACTACAACAATTTCTTGGATTATCGAGAAATTTATGGTAAAATCTGTCGAGAAATGTCTTCAATAACAGGGATTTTACAAAATGTTGTTTTCATTGAAAAATATAGAGAAAAAATAAAATTATCTCCACTTTTGACACACATCTGTACATATACATGTTTTTTCTTAGGACTCGAGGAAGTTTCAAACATCTCAGCTTAATCTAAGAATTCCATACGTAAGTGTTACAACTCACTAGCACAGATTATTTCATGAATCTATATCTTTTTGGCCAAATTTCACTACAGAAATAAGATTATATTGCAATCATTTTCTTAGGATCCGAGTTCAGAGTTTTTAACAGAAAATAGTTTGGTTGCAAGTAAGACATTTTGTAATAGAAACTTCAGTGACCGAGTAACATTATTTACCTACTTTTTCTCCCAATAAGTACAAATGTTCGAGAATGATATTTAAATTAACGTTATTACATGACCCTTACCAATTGAAACCTCTTATTCTGCATGTCTAAAAAGTTGCATGCTAAAGAGAACTTTGTAAGATTAATATTTAAGAATTTCAGCAACAGGATTAAAAAGCTATTTAATGGCCCTCTTCTTTCCCTACTGACTAGCTATGGATCCTGCAGAAAACAGCTCCTCGCTAGTAAAGTGCGATGATGCCTAAAAGGCCATGCACTATACCGGAAGAAGAAGAGATGAAGAAAAATGTACGGAAATGCAGTGGGTCTAAAATAAGCAACTAGATTGATTACGCCGGCGTCCGATATTGATAAATGAACTTTTTTTTAAGTTGAAAAAAAAAGGAAAATTAACGATGACAACTAAAAGCTATGGCACGCAAATTCACAAAAATGAGCAAAACATAGTTTCACAGTCGATAAACTAGGTTTATCGGTTGTAAACTATAGTTTACGGACTGTTAACTATAGTTAACAACGTTAATCTATATTTTACATCCGTAAACCATAGATAACGCGATAATCTATATTTCACAACCGTAAACTATACTTAACACTGAAAACAATCATTTGCGATTGCAAAACATAGATTATCTGATAAATACAGTTTCACGATTTGTAAACTATAGTTTACAAACCGTTATCGATCTGATAAATATATTTTCACTATTTGTGAAACTATGATTAATATAGTTTACGATTATAAACTATAGTTTACAAACGTGAATCTATGTTTATCAACAAAATCTATTGTTAACGCTTATTACAGACAAACTTAGATTATCATTCGTAAACTATAGTTAACAACCGTTAAATATAGTTTTACAGTTGAAAACTATACTTAACGAATCATTAACTATAGTTTACGGTTTGTAAACTATAGTTTACAGTCGATAAACCTAGTTTATCAAATGTGAAACTAGGTTTATCTCATTTTTGTGAATTTGGCGTGCCATAAAAAGCAATATGTGGTAAAGTGTAAATATTTGAAAAGAGTACATAGTTTTAGTATTTTAGTATTTTGAGTTTATTTGACATGCATATTATTATTATTGTCTGTAAAATAATTTTGATATTATTATTTCCTGGAATTTATTTAATTTAATTTATTTATATTTCAGCAGTTTATTATCTATTTAAGGTATCATAATATTATACTTTAGAAACTTTAGAATTATTCAGAAATTAAAGCTGACATGAACTCTTAAAAAGGCATTAGTTTTCATCTTTGTACGACTTACTACATTCCTGTACGCCCTTGTCAGCATATTTCTTCGATTCCGCCATATTTTATCGAAGATTTTTGGCCACCCGTACCTGCTATATATAGCCTTGTACAATTGTTTCACTTGAGTGATTTTCTAGCCTGGCTGTCAACATGTACACATCTCCGATAGCATAGTCTTTAGAAGTCCATAAACTGAATAAACTGACCAAATACATGTTTGAAAAGTAAGAATTCAACAAAAAATAGAACTAAACCGAGAATTAAATTATTTTTGAATGCATTTGCTGCAATATAGAAAATACACTAATACAGAATACATTCATGTACAGCAACAATCCATGCAGGTCGAGAAAACGCGTCAAACGCAGTGATAAAACATTTACCTGAATATACTGCTATCGTTACAGGGATGTGCACATGTCGAAAAAATTATCCTATTTTACTTTTATTGAAAAATGCATCTCAGAAGTCGTGTAATCCATTGCTAACTCAACAGTAAAAGATGCTTGGACACATTTTATTTGGTCAGGGAAAATATCAAAGGTTGAAAACTCAGTGGGGTTGATTGAAAAAAAAATGCAAGTAATTTTTTCAAAACTAAACATTACTCTTGTCTGTAAATGTTGCAAATAGAATTTATGATTACATGGTTTAACATCATTAAATTTATAATAAACAGGGGCGTAGCCAGGGTACATTTGATGTGGACGCCTGGATAGGCTTGGGGTTTGGGGGTCGCCTTAAAGCCCCCGATGGGTCTAGGGCGAAATCGCCCCCGGAAGCTGGTGAATTTTCGAAGATGCATGTTTTAGCCTTCTGATAGCATTTTTCTTACATTTTTTTTCGGTTTGTTACGCAGCCACATTTAAGGTCTGTTCTCTCCTTATACAAAATGCGGACAGTCACTCAAAAATGAGAAAAGATCTGTCCAAAAGCGAATCCACGAAAACAATTTTTAGACTTTTGAAGCTGGACAAAATACGTATGGTAACATACGGGAGTTGGTTAGAGTAGTTGACTGGTTTAGACGGACCACGTAATTGACTGATAGTCAGGCTTACATTTATATTAAAAATACATCTCTAAAGATTGAAAAAAATAACAGTTAACCAAAATCTGGGAAAATCTTTTGATTTCAAGTATAAATTGTTTTCAAAACTGATTCTGTTGATAAATTCTTAATTGTTTCAAAGTATTTTTTTTTTTATTTTTAAAATTATTTACTAATACTTAAAAAAAAATGATGAGTACGC